CAATTACGTTCCTCCCACCATCATCTTCCTACTCATCAATCTATCATGCCCTAAACAAATAGTTGTATATAGTATTTAGAGTAGACGCCCTTAGGTCACTCTAAAAAACTGTTGAAACTTGCTGAAAGCGTCTTTGTGCGCGTTGTATGGCTTGGTATATGACTATGGCGCATTAATTGTTCAACGAAATTCCACACTAAAAAATTTACATGTTGTTTAAATGAAAATGTACATGTTACGTACTCTGTTTTTCTTATGGCCCCCAAAGATTTTTCATGAATTCGCCACTACTTGTGGCTGGTTAGATACTCTCACAAGAAGTTGGACCCTGTGCACTTGAGGTCGACCAATATTGTCCCAATACATGTAACATACTCCTATGTGAGAGTGACCTTAGTACTCACCTAATCAGACTATAAGATGGCTTAACCACATGGCTGGTCATTCACGTTCACGAAAAGTGAAACCCTATGCCTTGCTGATTATTTTTACACGAGTTTGGTCCACGAATGAAATCAAAATACATGAATACCTATTGTTTTGTGGGAGTAGCCTTATTAATCACGTAATTAATCTGCCGTACTGAAGTTTTTTCTTCTTTCTCAAACCATAACGAGGTGTGAACTTGACAAAAGTGTCAAACTGAAAAGACATGGATGTAATTAAATTTGCATGTGTAACTTGTACGATCAAATCACCAAATATTCCGTCATGAAATGTAGCTATATACGTCTACATTTTACACAGTTCATTGTTTCCTGAATTCAATTGATTTGGTGGGATTATGATTTAGGAATTGAGATCCACTCTGGATCTTTGAGAGTCAACGGATCTAGTAATTCGGACCACTCAATTAAAACTTTATTGTCACCATTTGTTCATATCATTGGCTACTTTATACAAATTAAGAGTCCAAATTTCTTTCCCTCCCCCTAAACGGCTCAGGTTTTTGGTCTACATTGCAAGCTCCGAACTTGGAGATTCAGAGAGAATCTCGATTCATGATTTAGATGGGTCGCATTCAAAAACGGAGAGGCAACATATGGCCTAATCAGTCCCCAAAACAAAATTCTTGTTGTCCATTTCCAAAAACTCTCGTTTTAACTTGAATCAATCAACTACCATTCCAAAAACGCATCTGTTATCTTTTTTTTCCCACTTCGCGAAAGTTTGTTGAGCTTTCAACAAATTAAAAACCAATTATTTTTCCCAGTCAAAATCAAATGTAATTGTTTTGTTTGTTTTCCGAAACGTTGCTTTCAAATATCCTTTATGAAAAAGATTTTTTGTTTTTGTTTTTAGAAATACCCAGAAGAGAAATACCAGAAAACAAACGGGTCGTTTTCGTCGGCCATCAGCGTCAGAAAACGACTCAAATATATGGGAGATTTTGGATTGTTCTGGTATTGGGGTTTTTGAAAACAGCTTTATACATGCAACAACCAAACTCTAATCCACATCACTGGATGGGGGAAAACGACAAGCCATGTGATGACCGAGGGGTGGACTCTGCTGTGGTGTTATTCTTTTAAAAGTTTGGTTGAGGGTGACCAATCAAGGATAAGAATTCCGAAAGTAGGAGAGGTATTGTTGGATCCACGGCTCAGATTGGATGATGATCGTGAACGTGATGTCAATCACCATCTGCTGGGCTGTACAGCAACAGGTTGCACGTTATGTCTTCCACTTAACTCATGGGTATTGCAAACGTCACGGCACTGGTGACTCAGTGGTTGAAAATCGATTTTAAGTTCGTCTTCAAACGACACGTCTTAAGTTTTTTATTCATGATGTTTGTAAATCGCACGATGATGGTTAGAAGAAAGTTGAAATATCTCAGCGATTCTTCATATAACTTCCGACAAAGCCATCAGCTGATTTTTTTTTTTTTTAAAAGAAAAAAAACTTATGGACATTGTTTACTCGATAGGAATGGAAAGTGAATCATACAGGGTTATGTAACAACTTAATGCAACCAGAACATTACGGTAGTATTTTAAGTCAACTGAACTACAAACTATTTTCTTCCCGTTGCATTGAAGTTGAATCTGATTATATATAATGAATGCAAGTAATCAACTGAATTACAAACTCTTTTTTTCCGGGTCCATTTATAAAGGACAACTTTACAACTATAGTTTCAAGTCCATTAAAAGCTCAGTTTTCCTTGGTAGCATTAGTTGGAATGCCTCCCGTTTGCTAACCAAACCGAGTACATGAAATCCACTTACCGTACATTCTAACATTTGCAAACTGATATGTATGAAAGCAGTTGGGAGTATGATTATTTCCGCTCCAAATCTCCTCATCTCTCTTAAACCGTAAGATATTAACGTGATTAAATTGTGAGCATTTAAATAAGAGAAAACTGGAAGGAAGAAAAAAAATAAGAGAGGAGAGAATCTGGATTCAAAGAGTTGAGAAAAGAAGACCTCTGAACTTCGTGATAGAAGCGTACAAATCTTTGATCTTGAGGAGGTAGTGATGCTGCTGGGAGGAGAGGTGAGTAGTGAGTGTGGGTAAGGTGACCACCAAAATCTACCAAAATTTACAATTTAGGAAATCCTATCAATTATATAAGCTCGTTTGGAAATGCTTTTAATATAACTGAAAGCGCTTTAGGTGAAAGTGTTTTTTGAGTTTCAAAAGCACTTAAAGTGAGTGCTTTTTGCAAAAAGCATTTCAAGTGTTTTTTCTAAGATTCACTTTATGACTTTACAACCTTAATTTTTGTTACATACATACTTAGCGTTACACGTGGTTTTGTAACAAAATCATAATTATTTATAGTAAAAAATAACTATTTTTGTTCCTCTCACTTTACAAAATAACGAGTGTTAGTCATAATCTTGTGGTAATTGTGAGATTATTAATTCAGTATTGAATTCTATGAAAATGCTAAAATTTACGTAGTCAAAGTCGTTCTAATAAAAATATGGTATGCCAACTGCTGCACCCCAACTCAAATATCATGGTGACACTCGAATCGAGATATGCTGGCCGATATTCAAAATTGATATTTGGGTCAGAGTGTTTCACCAACAAAGTACCATAATTAATAGTATGATAAATTTTTCTTCACTACTCCCACATGCTAAAAATAATCATCATGTTTGCTAATAGAATTGGGCATATTATAAAATTAACCCAGGGCACATGCTCAATAATTTTAAACACACTCATTTTGAGACACATTTTTTAGTATAAAATAAATAAAAACGATTTAATAACAACGTTTGTTACAACTTTCGACATCTTTGAGTGTGATTATGGACCGTCCAAAATCACTTACGTTGTACTTAATAAAAAAATTAAAATTGCTTTAAATGAGAAAATGAAAACATGCGTTTACAAAAGTGATGTAGAACAAATAACATAATGGATTGGAAAGGAAATGGACTGTCAGAAGATAAAAGGAAGCAATGATTTGCATTCCCATGATGCATTTTTGAAAAGGAGTGACTCATTGAGTCAAACTCATCGCTTTGCCATGATATGCGATAGATTTTAGCCATCCAGGGTCGTTTTAGCCTCCAAAATAGTATTTAAAGTTTCGTGATAAAAATCAGACATTTTGATTTCCGTTCGATTAATGTTTTAATTAATGTTGCTTTAATTCCTAGAAGTTCTTTGAATTGTTCCAAGCGATTGTAATCTTTATTTAAGTCATCTGGATGTATCAATTGTGTTCATTCAATCATTAATGAATTACAACATTTTGAGATTTCTCTCTCATTTCTAGTGAATTCCACACTTTGTTCTTCAAGGATTATATTTAAGGGAGTTTTAACGAAACACTTATGGTACTGTTCATTTTAACGAAAAAAAATATTTTTACTCTAAAAATTAGTGTTCTAAAAAATGGCCTAGGCATTAGGCGGTGGTGACCCGAGTCGTTTTCTTGCAAATCAGTTGGAAAATCAGCTGGGCTCTAGGCGGTTTTTTTTTTTTTTTTTTTGAAATTAAAAAAAAAAATCCTATCTACATAACTATATTTCCTTATTTTCCTCCTATTTTGCATTTTATGTGGTTTCAAATTGTGAACTTATTGTACATATGTCATCCTACAATACTCCTCACTATGGTTATATGGCATATATGCTTAATATGTTTTTAAATTTTGGACTTGTTGATTTTTTTTTTCATTTTTTCATTCTTTTATTCTCTTATCCATAGATTTCATACAAGTATAATTTTTTGTAAGTGTCAATATGCATTTATTTACCAGATATATAAGAAATTTAGCTAAATTTGCCTAGGTGCTAGGCACCAGCCCGCCGCCTGATTAGCGCCTAACGTTTTTTAGAACTTTGCTAAAAAATCACTTTTAATACCATTCACTTACAACAACTTTTTGTCATTTTGATTAAAACTCAAAATTTTTAGGGATTTTTTTCATTAGTTTTCTTATATTAAACCATTTGCTTGCTAGTCTTTCACCAAAATGCTAAAATTACTAGCAAGTAAATTTTTTATAGGTGAAAATTTAGAAATTTGTTAAAAGACTTCATATGCACTTTGTGGGTTTTTTCAACAGAAGGATATGAATATTAAATGTCATTAATTCATATATATATATATATATATATATATATAAATATAAGTACATAATTGGAAATATGGAATTTTGAGAACCTATTAAATAACACACCATATTGAAAATGGAAGCAGATTGTCTGCTTGGGAATCCTTTTCATTCATTTATATTGTGCGGTCACAATTAAGTCATGTCAATATTTTATATTAATTTTGTTATAGAAATAATAAGATAAAAAATAATAAGAATATAAAATATTGACTTAGCTTAACCGTGACCGTACAAATAGAATGAGAGGAGGAGATGAGAAGCACATCTTGAGCGCAGACAATCTGCCTCCTGTTGAAAATTAACTTGTGCAGGCCCGAAACGACGTCGTCCTTGTTGTCTCCATCAAGCATTAGCTTTGCAAAACTGGCGTTTTCTCGGCCCCAAAACCATTTTCCTTTCATTTCTTTTTCTTTTTCTTTATTTTTTCCTTCTCTCTCACCTGTTTCGTCGTGCGTACCAAATCTCTCCTTCTCTCTCTCTCCTCACTTTCTCGCTCATCCCGAGCTCCTCGCACGAAATCTCTCTGGATTCCGCCGATTGAAATTACCTTCCCTCGTTCTCGATCCGAAATCCTTAAATCTCTCTGACCCGACCCATGGTTAAATCCCCGCCACCTAAGCCCTAGGCTTCCCCGAATCGTTTCAACCCCCACCCAATCGAAGACCCGCGGCTTGATCTAGGGTTTTATCCCCTCCCCCCTCTCCCCTCTCCCCCTCCGAATTTCGAGAATCTAGGGTTCTTGCTGTTGAATTCGACTCCGGATTGATGTTTCATATCAAGGTGGACGATTGTGGGATCGATTGCTCGCGAATTGAAAACCGAGATGGAGGGCTATGCATGGTTCGCCAGCTGAGAAGTCGATACGCCGTCGGCACATGTGGCCTGTCCCTCATTCCAACGCCACGACTGTAGCTTCCGACCATTCTACCGCAACCGATTCCTTCTCCAAAGTATATAATTTCACCTTCTCCGAGCGATTTTATTTCTTTTTGTTGTTTTTTCGGTCAATTTATGCTGGTTTTCGATTAACTTGAGCCTTTGTTACGGCTATTATGTTATTAATTACTTTAATTTCGTTTGTCGTCGTTTTGGATTTTGTTACACCCTTCCTTTGGTAAAATTACTCTTCCGGTTTCTCGAATTTTCGTGGGTTTTGATTTCTCTTGGTTAATTTGTCCTCCAATTGGGTATTGGGTATTTATTTATTTTTAAATTTTCCATCTTGCGATTATCTGGCTCCCTTTTGATAGGAAGAAACAAACCTTTTTTATGTGGTTAATTAACCATTCATACGTATATGTGAATTTAATGTATTCCTCTTGTTACCTGGACTTCATATGTCTGTCCTGTTTATCTCATGGATGAATTTGTTGGGTTTGAATTTCGGTTACTACCTCACATCGGATTGCGTGTTTATAATTGTTCCTTTTTTGGTTGCTTAGATGGATTAGCTGAAGCCTGTGGATGTGCATGATAGAGTAACTGACAAAGAAAGCGGGATTTTTCTTTTTTGTACTTTGTTTTTCTCTCTCGTTGATTCTGATAGAACGTAATTGATTGAGTGCTTTGGAATTATATTTTGTCTTATAAGCTTCCTTAATTTCAGATTGTCTATTCTTTAGAATTAGCTTGGTTTCAGTTTCTTAAAAAAACTTTTTGGAAAAGGGTAGAGGAAAACCTAGGAAGACTTGGAAAGAGGCTCTCAGAAAAGACATGGACCTGGAGCTAATGGAAGACTTGGTGCAAAACCGAGTGTTCTAGGATCCTTACGGCCGACCCCACTTACTCACTTAGTGGGATACGATTGGGAGGAATGATTTAAGGAACTTCACTTTGTGTTAAATTTTATGGTTTGTCTGAGATGTATCTATGTTTTTTGTTTAAGAATTGACCTTCATTTGTATGAGTCCTGATGCTTCTATATTGCCTCAACTATAGCTTCATATCTGAAACTATTTTGCTGTGTTTTCTTGTTCTGTTTGCTGAATACATGTTAACGTTCTCTTGTCTATCCATTTTTCTGTATGATTTCTATTGTATCTAAATACAGTCAAACTTTACTTAGTATTTCTTAAGCTTGATGAGATCTTTCCCTTGTTGTATAGGATGGACGCAAAATTTGTGTTGGCGACTGTGCACTTTTCAAGCCACCCCAGGATTCCCCACCTTTTATTGGAATAATTCGTAGGCTAATATTAGACAAGGAGGAACGTCTATGTTTAGGTGTAAATTGGCTTTATCGACCTGCTGATGTAAAGCTTTCCAAAGGGGTCTCGCTAGAAGCTGCCCCAAACGAGGTCTTTTACTCCTTTCACAAGGATGAGATACCTGCTGCATCGTTACTCCATCCGTGTAAAGTCGCATTCCTTCGTAAAGGTGTTGAACTTCCTTCAGGGATATCCTCATTTGTGTGCAGACGAGTGTATGATACTGAGAACAATTGTTTATGGTGGTTAACTGACAAAGACTTTATTAATGTGAGTATTCACTACTTATTCATTGTCTATGCTCATGATTCAGATTTGTAGTGATTATTCTTTAAACTGCAGGAACGACAGGAAGAAGTAGATCAGCTATTAGACAAGACAAGACTAGAAATGCATGGGGCAGTGCAGTCGGGAGGTCGTTCTCCGAAACCCTTGAATACTCCGTCATCAACACCACAGATAAAATCTGGTTCAGATAGTTTACAGAATAGCACATCCCCCTTTTCTTCGCAGGTTAAAGGAAAAAAGAGGGAACGAGGAGATCAGGGCTCTGAACCTGCCAAACGAGAACGTTTAGTTAAAATAGAGGATGGAGAGTCTGGTCAGTCCAGACCTGAAAATATGCTAAAGTCTGAGCTTGGAAAAATAACAGACAAAGGAGGACTACTAGACACACAGGGGGTTGAGAAGTTTGTCCAACTTATGAAAGCTGAAAGTGCTGATAAGAAAATAGATTTGGCTGGCCGAAGAATGCTTGTTGATGTGATAGCAGTTACTGATAGGTTGGATTGCCTTGGGCAATTTGTACAACGCAAGGGTTTGTGTGTGTTGGATGAATGGCTCCAAGAAGTTCACAAGGGAAAACTTGGTGATGGTAGTAGCCCAAAAGAAAGTGATAAATCCGCTGAGGAATTTCTTTTTGCCTTACTTCGTGCACTGGAGAAGGTTCCTGTGAATCTTCATGCGCTGCAGACTTGTAATGTTGGCAAATCTGTGAATAATTTACGCACTTACAGAAACTCTGAAATCCAGAAGAAAGCTAGAAGTTTAGTTGATATGTGGAAGAAACGTGTTGAAGCTGAGATGAATTTGAATGAGACAAAGACTGGATCTAGTCGTGGTGGTGTTTCCTGGCCTACGAAGCATGCATCTTCAGAAGTTTCTCATGTAGGGAGCAGAAAAATTGGAAGTTCATCTGAGGTTGGCACAAAAAGTTCTACTATGCAACCTTCTGTGTCTAAAACTCCTCAGATTAAACTTGGCTGTGGAGAAACAGTTTCTAAATCTTCTGGTTCACCTGGATCAACGAAATTGTTGAGTATATCATCCGGCAATCTCTCAAGGGACCAGAATTTCAGAACGTTAGGTGCCGGAGCTTCAGATCTTCCATTGACACCAATTAAGGAGGAAAGAAGCAGCAGTTCTAGCCAGTCTCAGAACAACAGCCAGTCAAGTGATCATGCGAGGACAGTGGGTTCTTTATATAGGGAAGATGCAAGGAGCTCGTCTGCTGGTTCAGTTAGTGCGAGCAAAATTTCTGGCAGTTCTTCTCGCCATCGGAAATCAAGCAATGGCCTTAATGGGTCTACTGCCTCAGGAGTTAAGAAGGAATCAGGGCCAGGAAAAGCTTGTACCCTCAATAGAAATTTGACTTCTGAAAAGGCTTCAACAGTAGGAGTATCCTATGAGAAGCTTCCTGAAGTGCCCATGGTTGACCATGGAAACAACCGGCTGATTGTCAGATTGCCAAACACTGGTAGGAGTCCTGCTCGTGGTACCTCGGGAGGTTCTTTTGAAGATCCTGTTAACAGAGGGTCTCCTCCTGCTGAAAAGCATGACAACCATGACCAAAAATCTAAGCACAGAAGTGATGCCTTGCACGGTAATAGCACAGCAGATGTTAACTCAGATGCATTTCACAGCAAAGAGGGATCATCTGGTTCTGAAGATGGCAATGTGCCAACTATAGGCAGCGAACAAAATAGGGGTGGTGAAGATGGTGAAAAACAAACAGAAGCATCAAAGGCTACTGGTTCCTCGTCAAAAGTCACTTTAAGGACAGGAAAATCATATGAAGCATCGTTAAGCTCCATGAATGCGTTAGTTGAAAGCTGTGTGAAGTTTTCTGAAAGTAGTGGTGCTGCTTCACCTAGTGATGATGTTGGGATGAATTTGCTAGCTAGCGTGGCTGCTGGAGAAATGTCCAAATCTGAGAATGTGTCACCATCAGGTTCTCCTGGGAGGAATTCTCCTGTGCCTGAGAGATCATACTCAGAAGATGATGCCAAGTTGAAACAACTGGGCAAAGAAATTGCTGACATTCAATGTCAACCTAATGGAGCGGTCAATAGTGGTGCTACTGAGCTGGGCAGTGGACGTGACTCATTGCGAGGTAAGAATGAAACAAGACACTCTCTTACCCACCTGCCAACTAATGGTTTTGCTGATGTTAAAGTTGCTTCATCTGGGTGCGGGGATAGAACAGCTGAGTGTAATGCAAATTTGAATTGTTCTTCAAATAAGAAACAAAATACTGATGGTCAATCCTTGAGGGATGATGTGAAGCCTGGTGAGTCATGTGACGCTTCAGCATTAGAGCCACTTTCATGTGCTAGAAAAGAGGGTCATTTGGAGGCTGAAGGATCTAACCAGTCTCATGAGCAAGGAAAATTGGAGGCTTCTAATGGTAACAGTAGCAGCATTTCTGACTATAAGATAAAAGTGTTATCTTCCTTTTCTGATGACGATTTGGTTGTTCTTTGTGCAGATGAAAGAACTGTCAGGAGCAGTACACCAGTTGTGTCTGAAGCAGCCTCTGGGAGTGCAAAAGTTGAACAGGACATTGAAATATCTACTTGCTCATCCTCTCAATTGGCTGGCGAGAACCATGATTTAAAAAAGGATTCGAATAGTGCTATACTGACAGAGCAGAAATCATCTGTCGTCGAAGGAATCCACTCAGATTCCAGAGAGGGGAAGAGTGAGGATGCTGTTCTATGTTCTGGTTCTGGAAACACTTTACATGTGGAGTTTATGGATGAACAGACAGATGACATTAAGGCTTCCGGTCACACTGCACAGCCAGAGAAAGAGACACCGGATAGTTCTGTTCCATTTTCGCAGAACAGCAGAGATTTTGCTCAGGATACTACAGAAAGAAACGAGGCTTTTGTTCACTGTTCCGATCAACCGGTTTCGAAGGCAGAGTCACCATCAATATCTGTTAAAGAAAATGAGCAGCATGACAAGTCTAGTAAGTGTAAGTCAGAAGTTATTGAATCAGGGGAGACGGAGGAGCGGCAAGTTTCCTCGGCATCAGGTACTGCTGTAAAGCTGGACTTTGATTTGAATGAGGGCTTTCCTGTTGATGATGGGAGCCAACCAGAGTTTGTTAAAGCAGGAGATCCTGGAACTTCGTCCTCTGTTCATTTTCCTTGCCCTTTACCTTTTCAAATGTCTTCCATGTCAGGGAGCTTCCCTGCATCAATTACTGTAGTAGCACCGGCCAAAGGTTCATTTGTCCCTCCTGAAAACCTGATGCGGAGTACGGGTGAACTTGGATGGAAGGGATCTTCAACCACCAGTGCATTCCGACCTGCAGAACCCCGAAGGAATGTAGAAGCATCTCCCAATACAACGGATGCACCTATTGTTGATACTGCTTCCACCAAACAAGTCCGCCCTCCATTGGACTTTGACTTGAATGTGCCTGATCAGAGAGTTTATGAGGAAGTTGTTCAAAACTCGGATGTAAAGTCTGGATCTCGTGATCGGGGCTCTGGAGGGCTTGATCTTGATTTGAATAGAGTGGATGAGAGTCCTGATATTGGGCCGCTTGTAAGCAACAGTTATAGGTTGGATATTCCTCCTTTGCCCGGTAGGTCATCATTATCCGGTGGACTATCTAATGGTGCGGTCAACGACTCCAGAGACTTCGATTTAAACAATGGGCCAGGCCTTGATGAAGTTGGCACTGACACAGCTCCTTGCACCCAGCATTTAAAAACCAGTATGCCGCCTCGTACTCCTGTTCATGGTTTAAGAATAAACAACCCTGATTTTGGGAACTTTTCGGCATGGTTCCCTCCAGGAAACTCATATTCTGCCATCACAGTCCCGCCAATGTTCCCTGGCAGGTGTGAGCAGAGTTACGGTGCTGCTGCTGGGTCTCAGAGAGTTTTATGTCCTCCCACTGGTAATGCTGCATTTGGTCCTGAAATCTACAGGAGGCCAGTGCTTTCGTCCTCAACTGCTGTGCCATTTCCTCCTGCTACCACATTTCAATATCCAGGGTTTCCTTTTGAAACCAGTTTTCCTTTGTCATCGGGCCCCTTTTCTGGTTCTACTGCATATATGGATTCATCATCTGGTGGAGCACTTTGCTTTCCCCCCATGCCCTCGCAGATGGTGGGACCTGGTGGTGTAGTTTCATCCCCTTACCCGAGACCCTATATGATGAGCCTTCCCAGTGGTAGCAGTAATGTTGGCCTTGATGGTAGGAAATGGGGTAGTCAGGGTCTTGATCTTAATGCCGGGCCTGGAGCTACAGAAATAGAACGGAGAGATGATAGGTTACCTTTGGGAACGGGGCAGCTTTCTGTTCCCAGTTCACAAGGTCCGGTAGAGGAACAGTTAAAGTTGTTTCAGGTGGGAGGTGCATTGAAGAGAAAGGAACCTGATAGTGGATTGGATGCTGTTGATCGAGTTAGCTATAAGCAGCCTTCATGGCAGTAGAATTGTGGCACAATGCAGCAAACCTGTCATGGCTTGGTGAGCTTTTCTAGCCTTTCAGATCCTAGTTATCAATGTATTCAAGTTCTTTATTTCCTTAAACAAGCAAGGAAACCCTTGGATGGTGTCACTACAGTTACTACTGCAGTAATTAAATTGAATTGATGCCCTTCGTCCCTAGAGATATCTTTTTCCATTCCCTTATGATTACAATCAGTTAAATTATGATTTGTCCTCAATCGAAGCATTGGATTTGATCCTGCTAAAGTTTCTTTTAATTTTAAAATTGTTTTCAAATTTTCAGTTAAATTCTTATTCTGTTTATTTTTCATAAAATGGTCTTCTCCTCAAGGATTAGCGGAATATGACCTTGTCTTAACTGCAACTTGTAATCTGAAACCTGAGTTTCCCATCATAATAAGAGGAGAATTGAAATTGAGTTTCCATCCGTTCCAAATTTGGAAACTTTCATACATCTGCTTTTGTTGGTTGGGTTTTTGGTTTTTAATATGTTTTGATATAACTCTTCTTTGAACATTCTCTTCCTAATGGTGAGCCTTTCTCGTTTCTTTCTTGCAGCACTTCGGGGTTTCGCCTAGGAAACGTACAGGAGTTGACAAGTTGTTCACATGAACAGTAAAAAATGATAAAGGGCAGGTGCATGCGTTCATTGCACGGAACACCAGTCTGTACCACCTCTTAACTTTGGAAAGCCCCCTGGGGTCCTGGAAGCAGTTCTTTTAACTGAATCTGCTCTGATAGCCACTGCAGACAAGTTTTTCTGTGTAGATATCTAACTCTTGGAAAGCATCCTCGACGCACTGCCTAAAGCCGTGACATTGGTGCTCAATATTTGGACTTGTGCCAGTTCAGGTACACATTGCAATCCCGATCCTTACTCGATCATAATTTATTGGGGAGATTGGTTGTATGAACTCTCAGGCCAGGCCAAGGTCGTCATGTATTCTGTCATTAATTTTTTTTCTCTTCTCCAGTTGTTACATATATAGTTATTACTTAGTCAGGACTGCCGAATTTTGTTATCTTATCACATTCTGGTTATGGAAATTTGCACAGGCCGTCACCGTATTGGTTTTTTTTTTCCTTCCCCTTTGTATTATAAGTTATAACCAGAGTCTTGGGCAAACCTAGAGATTGTTGGACAGAAACTTCACCTTTGCCGCATTTGATTCATTTGTATTACGAAATGCCATTTGACTCGTTTGTGAAATTTCCATGGTGCTGCTGACAGGGTTTTATATAGTTTTTGCATTTTTGACGACGAATCGGTACTCCCTAAATTCTGTTGTGCATGGTGGGTATAATTTTGTGTTATCTTCTTGTACCTGTACTGCGAATTGTAATTCTGGTAACTCCGGTTGCAGCGTAATCGTAAAGATTATGGGTAGACGGTGAACGTGCAATTAGCTCATTTTTTTACCCTTCACTGCATCGTTGTGCATTCCAAAATCTTTGTAACAATGTTGTTCTGTTTCTCGCTTGAAGAATTCAGTTCCGTGATGTGAATGCAGATCATTTTTTTTTCTGTTCGCCGGAGAATCACTTGTTTTGGAACTGCCCCGATTTGCTAGTTGTTTGTACAAGCCTTTATGCGATCACGCCGTTTGCAGCCACGGAGCAGCGTTGCGTCGTGATGAAATGTATTGACTTGGATTCATCCCTCTTGTGGCGGAAAATGTCTTCAAAGTTATTGCGTCAACAATTTATTCATGCGGTGCATGCCATACACCGGAGGAGACCGTAAAAAAATTTATCTGAAAAAGTAAGCGAACTGTTAGTGCAGGACACGTTTATCAGATTTCAGTATCGAAGTAGCGTTAAGGACAAGTGAGGATTCTTGCCGGATTCTTTTTGTGCGATCCCGAAGATTTTCAAATTATATTTGTTCATCCTACATCGTCGAAGATTCTCAAATTATATTTGTTCATTCTATATCGTGTGTGGTCAGATATCATTGTAAAGTTTTTTTATTGAAAATTAAATATAAACAGTACCTGACGAAAACTGGTAGCACGATGAATGGATGTGGTTGAAGGATTTTCGGTATCCTCTCTCTTTAAGAACAACTCTCTTAAGAAGAAAGGGAAAGGGATCATCTCTGGATTCTTTTCATCAAGTCCTTCCCATCAAACAATCCGGATTTTTTAAATTTAATCGAACGGTTAAATTTATTTTAACTTTTATAATGAGTCTTTATTTGTAACCGTTTAATCAAATTTTAAGAACCCGAATGAGTTGCTGAGAATGACAAGATCCCTTTCCAGAAGAAAAGTTTCAAATGTCAGTGTCTGGGATTGGGGTTACAAATTTAACAAAACACATGTCGCTTTTATTTAATTGCATAAACTGGAGACACCTGTCGTGTCGTGTGAACGGTTAAGGTTTCGAATGGACCACTAGATGCGATCGAACCCAAGTGCCCAACAAAAAAAGATAAGCAAGGTGGGTCACACACCTCCCGACCAATTAGCTTGTCTTGACCGCTAATAAGAAAATTGACATAATATGTTTTTATACAATTGACCAAAACATATTGACGCGATATCGATAACACGATGATAGTTGTTAATGTGTTCATAATAAATGATTGGACCGACCGGCTAGTCATAAGTAGCATGAATGTGAGATCCTTCTCATTGCACCTAATGTTTACAATTGATTTTGTTTGTGTTTTGCATTAGTATAAAATTGTGGGGTATCCTTAATTATGTAATTATTTAATTTTATTTACCATAATATATTCCTTGCCATTAATACGAGGAACCAAAGTCATATGAAGTTTAAAATATGATTATTAAAAAGGAGAAAATTTTCAGTGTGACGGGAACATGGTCTGGTATACCCAGCGTCATATTACAGGTGGTTAGAATTTTTTTCAAGTATCCAGTCACTTATATTATGACACTTGGTGTATTGAGACGTGTTATCCGGACACTGAGAAATCTCTCATTAGCATGAATGATGACTTTGAATGCTTCCTTAATTTGAATTGGTGTTTTTAAAGAAGGGGAAAAAAAATCCCAACTCATGTAAGATAAAACCGGAGAAAATGTTAGTTGTATATCGCTCTGGACGATAAGGGTTTCTTTGACTTATTGCTCATTGGGTTTCAAATTTAAATCATTTTCATCCTCATAAGCTAACTTAAAGTAGTAATATCCTCTATAAATAAAAAATAAAGGTATATATAAATGATTAAGATCTCATCTCATCTCATGCAATGCAACAACATCGGATCGGATAGTCATAGACATAGTCTTGAACCACAAAAATTTTGAAATTTTCAAACCCCCTTAAGGAGGAGATATTTTTCAATGTGATGGGTACACGGGGTGGTACAACATGTATTACTATATAAATGATGAGATATATATGCTAAAAAGTTAATAACTTAAAAAATAAAATTTCTCATCACTTCTATTAAAACACGTGATGTACCATTTGTATTCCCGTCACAATTAAAAATTTCTTCTTAAGAAGGAGGGTCATATGGGAATGGGACTCACCCACTCACAAAACTCGATTGGGTTTTTGCCGCGTAGCGCACATGATCGGTCACTTTTGTCATCGATTTGTAAATTAGTGTCGACAGAAAGTGAAATTTGTGGGTGGAATTAGATTGCGCCGAGCATTAAGGGCACATGCATGCTCTTTCTCTCTCTCTCTCCATTTCAGTTACTCATTTGCATGGTTTGCCGCGTGATTTAATCTCACGGCGGACGTTACTTTCCACATAAAGCCATCTCTTCTTATCTCTTGATTTCCGAACTGCCATTCTTTTGTGGAAAACCCTAATTACAAAGCACAACCACACGTTAACAATTCAAGTTATTTTTCAAGGTATTTTTGTGTCTTACGGTCTAATAGTTCATATACTGTTTACGGAGTAGGCATGGAGTTTTTTTTCTACCTGAATTGTGAAACTTTTAATACTTTATGACGTAATGTGATAAAACCGAAACTACAAACATTTGAAACGTTGTGTGGTTTTTGACCTTGACCTAAAACTGGAGGTGTATTTTGTAATTAGCTCAATTCAAAGAGGAAAATAAAAGGAAAGTACAAGCTCATCATGAGCAAGCAGAAAACCTAAAGGGGAAGTAAGAAAAAAAGAGCCTCTTTGGCTCTCTCACAAGGCACGTTCCCTTTTCTCTAATGATGTGAATACAGTTTCTGCACTCTCTACCCCTTATAATTTCTTCTTCATAGGTTCTCCTCTCTCTCTCTCCCTCTCTCTCTCTCTCTCTCTCTCTCTCTCTCTCTTCTATATGTTTCCGACAGTCATGAGTTTTTGTACTTTTTTCCCAGAAAAATCCCACAACTACCCCAACAGGGAGAGAGGCCATAATAATAACATGAGCAGATTGGCACCTTTCTTGGTCACGTTTCTAGCCACTGCCACCATTTTTAGCTTGTTCCTACTCTATTCTCCGAACCCTTTTTTAATTTCTCCCAAACAGGGCCTTAACGATCTCAATTCTGTTCAAAACCAGACATCCATTCATGCAGCACAGAAAGAAAATCAAGCCCCTGATCGCACTAACATCAAGCTCCTACCCCCACCAAGTAACTTTTTCTTGTCACAAACAAAACCCAATTCTTTTTTTTTTTTTTTTTTTTATTTTTAATTTGGATCATTTTCTGAAAAGTTTGAATTTTGTAGAGAAGGAGGAGGAGTGTGATTTGTTCAAGGGTCATTGGATTCCGGATTTGAGAGGAGCAATGTACACGAATTCGAGCTGCGCCACGATTCCGGAATCAAAAAATTGTTTCAGAAATGGAAGGAGAGACAGGGATTTTCTGAATTGGAGATGGAAACCGGACAAGTGCGAGCTTCCGCGGTTTGACCCGAAAACGTTTTTGGAAATTGTTCGGGGAAAGAAAATGGCGTTCATCGGCGACTCTGTCGCCAGGAACCATGTCGAGTCTCTTCTCTGCCTCTTGTCACAGGTCAGTTCATATTTTGATATTTGATTTGATATATGTTTATCTAATCTGATGTTCTAATTTACTCTAATTTATACCTACCGAAAAAATGGAGCAGCCTCTCCATAAAATGGAGGTAAGGCTAACCGACATTCACCTCTCCCAGACCTTGCGTAAAGCGGGAGCCTTGTGCACTGAGTACGACCTTTTTTATACCTACCGAAAAAAGGAATTTTACACGAAATTCTAACTTAGTGTAATGTCTTGACCGGCTGGCCTAATCCAGATCTTCGTTGCTTTATTAGAGTTTTATTTTTCAGTGTGACAGTTTTGCATGACCTGAAATCTGAAACTTAGGGAAGAATAATCCGAATACCAGTGGATAAACATTAAACAATATAATTTGCAACGATGTTATACACGTAAACCATTCATAACATAATAAATGACATCAATTGCAACACAAATGACAGCAACGTACCATGTGATTTCACTAACATAATAGCAATAATAGTTTTCAGATGCGGATTATGTCAATTGATTAGGATAGTGTGTCTGTTCACTTTGTACTCGAGTTTAGAAACATTGTGATAACTTTGCTTGGTGCTTTATGCTTTGAAGCAACGTCACAATGTCACAGTGCCACAAATGCCATGTATGCAGATCATTACCTTTCGTGCTCGTCTCATTTTTGGAGTGATGACAAGCAATCGTAGTGGTTCAGAGTTTAGAGGGGATACTATCTTTGCAACAATGTTCATTCATTCTATACGGTGGCGATTATAAGCTACTTAATTAGGTGTTCTTAACAGTACTAGGGATGGCAATGGAGCGGGACAAAGCCATGTAACAAATTAACATTTTTGTCTCGCCATGTGAATGGGACCCGTGAAGCATTCAGGCTCCAAGGGTGTCATCATAGTCAAGACCACTCCTTTTACAGTAGAGTAGTGCCTTGCTATATTGACATGCCACATTTGCAATAGTTCTTTATTCAAATAAGTTGAAATGACATAGATTACGCTTCAGGAGCATGTACAAAGATTTTCTAAACCCTAATATTATTCCTATTAATCTTGCAGGAGGAAAACCCTAAAGACATTTACAAGTATTCCGATGACCGGTTCAGGATATGGTACTTTCCTCAGTACGACTTCACCCTCATGAAATTATGGTCCAAATATCTCATAGCTGCAGAGGAGAGGATGGTTAACGGTTCAGGATCTGGCGTTTTTGATTTGCTACTAGACAAGGTCGACGATAAATGGGCAGAACAGCTCCCGGAATTAGACTACGCTATATTCTCAGCCGGGCATTGGTTTTTTCGTCTAATGTACCTACACGAAGGTGACAAACTTACCGGATGTGTTTACTGTAACGAACCTAATGTCACCGAATACAACAACAGCCAAGCCTTGCGCATGGCTTTTCGAGCTATATTCAAGTACATAAATGATTGCAAAAACTGCAAGGGAGGCCTCTTGACCTTGTTGAGGACATTTGCGCCGGCACATTTTGAAGGCGGGGCTTGGAACACCGGGGGATACTGCAACCGAACAAGTCCTTTGAGCGAGGGGGAAATCGATTTGGGACGTTTTGATTGGGAACTGAGGAGCATTCAGGTTGAGGAGTTTGAAAGAGCAAAAAAAGAAGGGGAGATGGAGGGGAGGAGGTTTAGGGTTTTGGATATAACGAGGGCAATGCTTATGAGACCGGATGGGCACCCGGGAGTTCACTGGGGAAACAAGTGGATGAAGGGTTACAACGACTGTGTGCATTGGTGCATGCCAGGCCCTGTTGATTACTGGAACCATTTTTTGATGGAGATTATCCGAAACGAGGGAGGATTAGTTTCTTAGTTGAGGGTTTAGGGTTTACTTAGAACTTAGTACAAACATTCATACAAATCCATACTTAATAGTTTATTATACCTATTTTTTAATTTTGGTTTTCTTACATGGGCGTATAATAATTTTAGCTCAGAGATATAGTATGTCAAGTGAGTTGCATAATATTCCGAATGTGAGATTTTTACTACCAATTTGCCAATGTACAACAGATGAAAAGGAAAAAAAATTGAATACCATTGATCTTTTATCAATTTGAGCACAAAGTGTTTGTCATATATAGAGGTTGTTTGGCAACGTTAAGATTGTGTCAGATATTCTTCAGACCTTGATAAATTCTCTCCATATTTCAGATTATTTTAGAATATCGCTTAAATAAAAATAAAAATTCTAGATGCTCTAGTTCAAGGTATTTTAAGAGCATTTCCAACTGATAGGTCAAATTTTTATATATAATATGTGCTTGGAATTTAAAAACGTGTCATGTTCCTGGTAGTTGTAAGTAGGTTGTCGGATGATAATGTCCAAAATTCGGGTCTTGTGCTCTGTGCTACCTATCTGCATTAACGGTGGCTTAGATTTTGATTTCTTAGAACCAAGTAGCTTTATTGTTATATTTTTCCTGGGTAAATACCAACATTTTTTTTTTACGAACGATATTATCTATACTAAGGGAGAATGTGAGGGTTTAGCTTCACAATAAACTAACAATAATGTGGTTCAAATTTATCTTTTACTAATACTTCTTTGGCGGATGTTAGGGTATGAAGAGCAGACAAGGCATCCAAATCTCCCACAATCCATGCAATCAAAATTTAATTAATACAGAATCTGCATTGCCTGCCCCTTAATTATAATCAAGACTCTCTCTCTCTCTCTCTCTCTCTTCTCCCTACCTCCCTCCCTCCCTCACACACACACACACACACTCTCTCTCTCTCTGAGACAGACAGACAGAAAGTCATGAGCAGATCGGCTCCTTTCTTCGCATCTCTAGCCATAGCCACCATTTTCATCTTCTTCTTACTTTATTCTCCAAATCCAATTGTTCTTTTCTCTTTTAAAATTTGATTTATTTTAGAGTCCGTTTGATTACCATTTTGTTTTTAGTTTTCGTTTCTTGTGCTAGAGATGGAGCGAAAATATATGGGAGGAATGATGAAGGGAGAAGGGTGTAGGGACATGGTGGGAGAAAGGGAGGCGGGAGAGAAGTGCAGGAGTTTATATTAACACAAAAACTTGAAAGTCCAATTTTTTGGTTTTTATTTTTCATCATGTGTTATTCCTTTTGCATTTCTTCCACCTTTCTTCTACTTCATCGTTCCTTCTTCTTCTATACACATTTTCTTTAGCGTAAAAACTAAAAACGAATTGGTTATCAAACGACTTGTGATTTTCTTTCGGTGGGGTTCTAAAAGATATTGCAATTTTTGGTTTCTGTAGAAGAGAGGTGTGACCTATTTAAGGTCACTGGGTTCCAGAACTGAGAGGGCCAATCTACACCAATACAAGCTGTGCCACTATTCCTGAATCAAGGAATTGTTTCAAATATGGTAGAATAGACAAGGATTTTCTTAACTGGAGATGGAAGCCGGACAACAGCGAGGTTCCGTGGTTCGATCCAAAGACATTTTTGGAAATCGTTCGTGGAAAGAAAATGGCTGTTATCGGCGACTCTGTTGCGCAGAACCATTTTGAGTTTCTGCTCTGCCTCTTGTCACAGGTCAGTTCAAACTCGGATGCTTGTGTTTTATGTGTGGTTTCTTCGATGATTTACGACATTAACTTGCAGGAGGAATCCCCTAAAGACATTTACAAGGATTTCGAAGATCACTTCACGACATGGTACTTTCCACAACATGACTTCACCCTTATGAAATTATGGTCCAAATTTCTCATTGCTGCAGAAGAGAGGATGGTTAATGGTAAAGGATCCAGCATTTTCGATTTGCAACTAGACAAAGTCGACGAGAAATGGGCAGAACACCTCCCGGATTTAGACTACGCTATATTCTCAGCAGGGCATTGGTTTAACCGGATTATGTACCTGCACCAAGGTGGCAACCTCATTGGATGCTTCTACTGCGGTGAACCTAATGTCACCAATTACAACGGTAGCCACATCGTTCACTTGGCGTTTCGAACTGCATTCAAGTATATCATGGATTGCAAGTACTGCAAGGGAGGCCTCCTGACCTTGTTGAGGACATTTACACCGGCACATTTTGAGGGTGGCGTTTGGAACACCAGTGGGTACTGCAATCAAATGAGTCCTTTGAGCGAGGCAGACATTGATTTGGGACGTTCGGATTGGGAACTGAGGAGCATTCAGGTTGAGGAAATTGAAAGAGCAAGAAAAGAAGGGGAAGTGCAGGGAAAGACGTTTAGGGTTTTGGATGTAACCAGGGCCATGTTTATGAGCCGGACGGGCACCTCGGAGCTCACTGGAACAAGTGGATGGACGGTTACAACGATTGCGTGCATTGGTGCATGCCAGGCCCTATTGATTACTGGAACCATTTTCTGATGGAAATTATCAAAATCAAGGGAGGCGTAGTATCTTAGGCCCAATTTGGCATCGTTGTAGCTTTTTAAAGTAATACTTATGACGTGCTTTAAGAATAATCAGTTGTAAAGTAAATGTTAATCGAATACAATCTATGCCCCGATGCTCTATCCTATATACCATACTTACGTATTATGACAACCTAGAGCTATCCCTCATAGTACTATCACTGTAACTTCCCAGCTCCAATCAACAAGTAAGCTGGAGTCTTAGTGTTTTTCGACGACTAACAAGTGACATGGACAGAAACTCTGTGAATGTTAGTCGTCAACAACAAACATACATAACCCAGGACATAAATTTCAAATCCTTACTCGTGCACACAGAAGGAAAGGCCAACTTCAGTCAACAGTACAGCAAAGCCCTAGAAGAACTCTTGGCTCAATCACAGAGAGAAGAGTCTGATAAGGATGATTACCACAAACCACAGCTAGATTGTTGAAGCTGATAGGTTTCAGATTTCTCTGGAACAAAAAATTGCAAACCGACACTAAGGTTCTACAGTTAATTGATACAGGACCAGCCTTGTTTCAATACAGAGTGCACAATCGGAAAGCGGAATTTTAAAACTATGCAGTGAGTTTCAAATTACTAGAGTAGAAGCATTACAAAAGTGAGAGTAGTCTAACAGATATCTGCAGTGCACACACAGCATACACACGCCTTCAGCAGATGAAGGTGATATTTTAACGAGCTAAAAAAACCATAACTAGCAAAGCAAGGTCGATAAACTAACCGGCTGGGGCATAGGGTCCAAGTTATTCAAGGACACATGATCTAATCAGTCTATAGAAGACATCCTTCATAAGCCTACATCACAAAAAAAACATATAACACAGCTGAAACGTACGCCAGTAGAAGTTTGTAACCTATGCCCCGGTGCTCACACACAGCGTATGCATGCCTTCAGCAGATGAAGGTGATATTTTATGAGCTAAAAAAACCAAGGCTCTAGATAACTAGTAAAGCAAGGTAGATGACTAACCAGCGTGGGGCATAGGATCCAAGTTATTCAAAGATACATGACCTAATCAGTCTATGGAAGATATTCTTCATAAGTCTACATCAGGAAAAAACATATAACAGCTGAAACGTACGCCATATAACAGCTGAAACGTACGCCAGTAGAAGTTTATAACCTAAACCAATGGGGACCGGCACACTCTTGATCAAATTTACCATCTTTGATATGGTAGAAACATTAGAGCCAACATAATAAGATGTTCACTCTTCGAATCAATACTCCAAAACCACGCAAGCTCGGATATTTTTGGAACAGTTTTATGTATTTTGAAACATAATCAACATGAACAAAACACAGTATCAATCCAAGAGGAAGATAAAATGAAACTATCCAATTCGAAAAACATCAAATTCAAAATCTGTAACTACACTAAGTGGTACCATAGACAGTAATCTACACTAACATCAAAAGGTAACACATATGCATTAAACAACAACTAAAACTGTAGATTAACACGTAAGCATTGCTCTGAAATCTCATGCTTCCACTGTGTTACCTAGCACAAACGAGAACAGCTCGCGAACCGGCGAAAACTCCACCAATCCAATATCCATGGCATACCCTGCAACCGGCAACTTCAAGTCCCTCAACACGCAAAAGGCTTCCGCCATTCGAGTCTTGGGCACTTCCTGAGCAACAGCACAGTAAGGAAGCCAACAGTCAGTGCGATACTCCTCCCCAATTTCAACACCTTCCTTCTTCATTATCTCGCACAATTGAGACTGAAACTGCAGCAACGAAACCGACGGAGTTGGCGACAGAAACAGGACGTTGTTGTCATTTGGGAGGCTCCCAATCGAAGAAAAGGACAAGGCCAGAGGCTCTTGCTTGGAGGCGAAGGCTCTGATCACGTTTTCGAGCTTCGCGGGTTCGACGAAGGGGCTTGAGAAGAGCGTGATGTGCGGTCGTGATTCGATTTCGATGAGCTGGGTACTAATCTGACGGCGGGCGAGCACGTTCCAAGCCTTCAAGACCTGGTTTTCGAGGGCTGGATCGAAATAAAGCTCGATTGCATAGCCCTGTGACATTGCCTTGGGATTGAAATTCGACGGAAAGCAATCGAATTGGACCGAAATCAGCACAACCCAGTTTCAGAAACTGAGATCTCAGATTGCCCAGATATCAAAAGTGAAAGTTAAACTGAAATCGAAGTGACCCAGAATTGCAAGAACCAAAATTTCAAAGAAAAAAACTACAGATTCAAGAAAATATCACAAAACAAGAACTACCCAAGAGAGATTGGGGTCGAAAAAAGCCTGAGAATTGAAATCAGAAATGGGGAACAAAAAGTGAAAGAGATGAGATTTTAAAATATGTGAAATGGTGGTTTAAAGTTTCAATCAGAGAGAGACAGAGGGAATAAAGGGGCAATAAAAAATCAAAGGGAAAGCTCGAAAAAGGTTTCCGAAGAGGCTCTGTAGCAGCTAAGCTACGATTTTTGTTTGTTCGGAAATTACAGTGATGAATAAGATAAAGTGGGAGATAGAAGGGAAGAGGAGCCTTGCACCGACGGTTGAGGAGGAGGAGGGTGCAAGGTCACCTGTTTTTTGGTGGTTGGCTTCTTCAAGTTTATCAAGACTTCAACTTTTTCAACTCCTTCAACTCTTTCAAAATTGAAGTCTAAAAGTAGAGAGATACGTTGGGAAAATTGCTTTATTAATACAAGGAAAAAGATTGATTGATTGCACACAATGAAGGAGATAAAGTAGTTAAAATAAGAAAATGCATGAGTGGTGGTAAAAAGAGTGCAAAAGGTGTATTCTTTAGTTTTGACTTGTATGTTCAATACTGATGTACGATATTAAATTGTTAAAGTAATAACATAAATTTTAAGTGAGAGATGACTGGAATTTACGATAAGATCGAATATAATAAGTACTGAGAACGTCAATGTGATACTAATCGAAAGCCTTCAATGCTTGAGTTAGCAAATTCGCAAAGTTTTGGCTAAGTATGTTGTGATCATGAGAATAGGAATCCATTTCTATAAAGGTGGAAATAGCGGAGCTTCCTTCCTCTTCGACATGAGGTGTTCTGGCTCTGAGTATGGTAGTGACACGTGTCCGTGAATGCTTGGGCCAAAGGTGGGATAACCAAAGCTTTGTATTAGCTAAGTGACAAGTCAATCACTTGCTGCCATGTGTGGAGATTCCTTAAAAAAAAATTATGAAATGATTAGTATTGGTCAGTTAGTTATCTAATGACCAATATTTAACCAGTATATTGTCACATAATATCGACTTGATCAGCGGTTGACGGTCATCCTACCACTTGGTGTAGCGAGACAACCTTATTTGTATGAAGTGTTCTTGCCGATCGACAGATTGATGGGCTTCTCTGTTGATCATCCTCTCGTTTACCGACTCCTAACGAGTGAATTTCAAAAGGATTAGCCCAAAGAAGGGTAAAACTTACATCTTAATTAATTGAAAATGATTAAGTAATGACACTTTTCTTCTCAATTTTCATGCAAAAAGGAGGAAGCCCATCTTAATTCAACCCACGTATGAAGCCCACTTGAGCTCTAATTTTAGTTGTGGGCTGAAAATAAGTTCGGGCCCAATTCTCACGTCTCCTTCCCCCTCCGTCATCTGCTACAGTATCTGATTCAAACAAATGGAAGTCGTCGATTCTGGAACCCCAGAAGCTGACGACACCGATATCGCCACAATGGACATCCAAGATACCAACTCCACCGCCATAAACGACACCGTCTCAGTCCCGACGAGCGACACCACCTCCGATCGTTATGAGTTTATTTTCTTAAGATGTTAATTATGTAGCCAATTAGGATTTAGCTGAGAAGTAGCTTGACATTGCAGATTACTTAGTTAGTTTGAAGGCGGAAGTTTATTAGGATCCAAATTACCGCTTTAAATTAATTGCCGCAACCTTGCTGTATCCATGTTTTAGTTTTTGAAATCTTTTACGTGTCTTCGTGTCTCTGTCTGGGCAACATAGCAATTACGTATCATGTTTTGCATTTCGTTTTCCAAACATCTGATGAATGTGATATAATTTTTTTTTCCTTTTTATAGTTCGGTTCATTTGATATGGTTTGAAAAAGTTGATGCTTTGTTTTCGTGAGTTATTATGTTGAATAGTTCTTTTCCGTTTTTTTCTTTTGCATGATGCTTTTAGCAATGCTTACGGTGAGCGATGATGAGTTCTGGGAAGGAACTTCACCTCTGGAGTTTGGAGAGTTACCCGCACTACAAGATGCTGTGACGGTTGCGGGCTACCCTATTGGGGGTGACACAATCTCTGTGACAAGTAGTGTTGTGTCACGTACGGAGATACTGTCTTATGTTCATGGATCGACTGAGCTTCTAGCTAGGACTGCAGGTTATTTCTGTTGGGCATTGTCTTCTACGACCATATCTAGCTACCTACTTACGTACAAATACATGATTATTTACCTGTTGTGGCTTCCTCGTTTCCTTTCTTTTGTAATCCTTTTGCAGATAGGTGCTTTAATAAACTCTGGAAGCTCCAGTGGCCCTGCCTTCGACGATAAGGGAAAATGTGTGGTATCGCATTTCAGTCTCTTAAACATGAAGATGCTGAGAATATAGGCTATGTCATACCGACACCAGTTATTAAGCACTTCATTCAAGATTATGAGACGAACGGGGCATATACTGTATACTGGTTTGTTATAATTTGTAGCTCTCACACTACCTTCCAGCACATTCCTGGCAGTCCACTAGGGACACATTGAACCTTGGATTACCATTTGTTTTGGGTCACTGAAATTCTTTCCGTTTTAGGGCTAAGTTGTTTTTACTCTGCTTTCATGGCTACTTAGTGGGAAAAGGCTTTGTTGTTGTTGTTTCATGGCTATGGTGGCTTACATTTTTTCAAAATTGTTGTAGGTACTTGTTGTTGACATTAATATTGAATACAATCAATCTAATCAGATTAATCTCCCTCTGTCCACCCGTGTATGCAGGCTTTGTGCTTTTCTTTTGGGGACAAGGATTGTCTGCCCTCCTTGTTCCTGTGCCCTCCGGTGCTCTCCTGTTTTGTGTGGTCACGGTTAAGCCATGTCAACATTTTATATTGTTTTTTTATAGAGATAATAAGATAAAAATGAATAGTAATATAAAATGTTGACGTGACTTAACCGTGACAACACAAACAGGAGGGCATGAGAGGGCACGGGAACAAGAAGGACAGACAATCCTCGTCCGCGGCTGAGTCGCTTTGTTCTCGGTGCAGATGGTTGTCCTACAGACGAAAACTACCAAGGCAGCAACGCTTGATATCCTCCTTACACATTGCATGCCTTCAGCTATGTCTGATGACCTCAGGTCTTAAAGTCTTAGACTTAAGAGAGGGGCTATGTATTCCCGTAGATGAAGACCAAGTCTTCAAGACTTAAGAGAGGAGCTATCCCCATAGATTAAGTTTAGAATACTCGTAAAAGGAAGGGAGATATTTCATTTCATCGTGGAAAGTAAAAGCTCGGAGCAATTCATTGGTCGTTTCGTGTCATGAATCATGACCGGCTTTCCAAGTATTTGCAGATGACTTCCCTCCCTTTGTTTTTGTTTTCATATGGGACGGGTTTTCACTTTTCAAAATTTTAGGGGCTCATGCGTTTAAAATAATTGAAAGCTTTTGTTGAAAATATTTTTAGAATCAAATCTTAATTAAATTGCAAGTAAATATTTGGAAAGTACTTGAAGTTATTTTAAAATACAAACTTTTTTTCTAAAATTGCTTTTAATCATTTTTTTTTCAAACGAACCCTAGAATTGGGTAAGTTAATCGCTTGAACTATTTGAATTAACCAATTAACTCCTCACTGTCAAATTCAATGAAATTTTATCCACTTTTTCGTCAAATAATGACACTTGACCAACACGTAATTCACTTTTAAGGGTAAAGTCGTTCCAGTATTTGACGAAAAAATAGATGAAATTTTATCAAATCTGACAGTGATTGAGTACTTGGCTTATATCAATATTTCAAAGTCTAAATTGTCAAAAAATAGTTTAGTGAGTCAATTTTAATTATTTAACGGGTCAATGGCAGTTTACAAATAATTTTTTATCAACACATCTACCTTTAAGAAAGATACTCTAATTTACTTTAATCTAAACTACGACATTTGAGAAATTATTCAAATTTATCGGTGTACCAGATCCCAATAGGATCTTCTTCTGATAAGAATCATGTAGATTTGTACATAATATCAGTTTTTATCAGATACTATTTGTATTTAATTTTTAATAAAAATATTTAAAATAATTTCTAATCAAGCATGATGTACGATAAACAAATATAATTTACGAATCTCGGTGAGGATATGGATTCAGTCAACTCTCGTAGACTAGAATATTAACAGCGGAAGCGTGTCGTAAGGTTTAGGCCCTGTTGGCCAACGAACTCATGAGTCTGAAGACTCTTGAAGGACAAGGATTGTATGTTCTTCCATGTTCTTTTGTTTTGTATGATTACGGTTAAATCACGTTAATATTTTATATTATTTTTTATAAAAATAATAAGATAAAAATAAATAGTAATATAAATGTGATTTAATCGTGACCATGAGAGAGGCAGACAATCCTTGTTCACTCTTGAACACTTTCCGCTATGTGAACCCAGTAATGTAATTCCCGCGACGCGTAAGCTTTTCCGTCCGCCTTCATTTTCTTGTCCTCTACTCCTCCCTCTGTTTTTCTTACGGCGCAGCTTCGACGAAGGCCGCCGTTGACTCCAGCGAGTCTCCGTCGGCCAAAAGAACAAAACCCATTTTCTATGACGACCCACCGCCACCCAACCACCCAAACCACCCCTTTTCCAGCCTTTTCATTATATAATCAAGACTAAAATCCCAAAACACATAACCCACCATTTGTTCCAACACTATGCATATCCAACACATCAGTCCCGCGAGCGCCGCCACCGTGAGCGACGCCGTTTCCCTCCCTCCCGCAACCGGGCTCCTCAGCTCCGAGCCCATCAAGATATCGGCTTTCGGACTCCCCGACCAAAACGGCACTTGTGGGAGCGATTTGTCGGTCGTTTCGGAGCCGCTGATGACGGTGCCGAGGTGGGAGAGGGTGGGGAGAGTTGTCCCGTCCATGGACGCGGTGGTGAAGGTGTTCTGCGTCCACACGGAGCCGAATTTCTCGCTTCCGTGGCAGAGGAAGAAGCAGTACAGCTCCAGCAGTAGTGGGTTTGTGATTCGGGGCAGGAGGGTTTTGACCAACGCGCATTCGGTGGATCACCATACCCAGGTCAAGCTCAAGAAACGGGGCTCCGATACCAAGTACTTGGCCACCGTGTTGGCCATTGGAACCGAATGCGATATCGGTATGCAGACAATTTTACATTTGCCTTTTGTAATTGCAATGTAATTCTTGAGGTGAATGCAGTTTAAAGTTTGCATTTTTTGTCGATTTTAGTTTCGGGTTTTCGTTAATTGGTGATGCTTCTTTGTATGCAACGATTTTACATTTGCATTTGTAATTGCGTAGTTGTTCTTTGAGTTTGCTGCAATTTAAAGTTTGATGCTTTACTTTCAGCGATGCTTACGGTGAGTGATGATGAGTTCTGGGAAGGGATTTCACCTGTGGAGTTTGGAGATTTACCAGCACTCCAAGATTCCGTGACTGTTGTTGGGTACCCGATTGGGGGCGACACAATCTCCGTGACAAGCGGAGTTGTGTCGCGAATGGAGATACTGCCTTATGTCCATGGCTCTACTGAGCTTCTGGGAATGCAGGTGGTTATCTTATATAGTCTCTTACATGAAAATGAAATTTTGTATGTCTGATTTCGAGTCTTGACTTGTGTTTTGCGGTCAATTGGGATGCTTTTTTGCAGATAGATGCTGCAATCAACTCTGGAAACTCTGGTGGGCCTGCCTTTAATGATAAGGGAGAATGTGTGGGAATTGCATTCCAGTCCCTCAAACACGAAGATGCGGAAAATATAGGCTACGTTATACCAGTACCAGTTATTATGCACTTTATTCAAGATTATGAGAAGAATGGCGTATATACAGGGTTTCCAATTCTCGGGATTAAGTGGCAAAAGATGGAGAATCCTGATCTTCGTATGTCAATGGGAATGAGACCTGATCAAAAGGGTATCCGAATTAGAAGGCTAGAACCTACAGCTCTAGAATCTCAACTGCTAAAGCCATCTGATATTATTCTTAGTTTTGATGGGGTTAACATTGCTAGTGATGGCACAGGTAAAATTTCTCTTTGTGTGTTTGCTTAGTTTTCAAGTCACTTTTGCGCTCATGCACCCGTTGGTTACTCTGTATAGAAGAGTGGCAGATGAAATGATTCAGAAGTAATACCAGTTTGTATCAATTTTATAGTTCCATTCAGGCATGGAGAGCGCATAGGTTTCAGTTACCTTGTCTCTGAAAAATACATAGGTGACAATGCCCTAGTAAAAGTTCTTCGTAACTCAGAGACACTTGAGTTTAGCATTAAACTAGCAAAACACAAGGAGCTCATCCCTTCACACATTGAGGGAAAACCTCCCTCCTATTATATCGTTGCTGGATTTGTTTTGACAGCTGTATCCCTTCCATATCTGCGTTCTGAGGTGTGCCCTTACTTCCAATTCTCTCTCTCTTCTGTGCTCATTCTCTCTAAGACTGTAATATCTATTTGTTTATTAGTTTCTGCCTAATGCATCCAGGTTAAATTGTAAAGTGAACATATTAGATTTGTTTACCATGCTAAATCTTAACCTCGGTGTCTACTTATTTGCAGTTTGGAAATATATTTGATGTTCCAATTAAACTGTTGGACAAGCATTTACATGCAATGGCGCAGTCTATTGATGAACAGCTCGTTGTTGTTTCTCAGGTTTCTCTCTCGCATTCTATTTTTTTCATGCTTTTCCATATTAGCATAAGTTCTTGTTGCCCTGATTTTATATTTTTATGGCTAACATTGTGCAAAATTGTGCTAGGTACTTGTTGCTGACATTAATATTGGATATGAGGACATCGTTAACAATCAGGTCAGAGACTAAGCTTTTCCGTTTTTCCTTTCTTTATCTGATGCAGCAAATGACAGTGAAAAGAATCGGTGATATAACATCTGATACACTTGTGTAAATTATTCTGCGAAATGTGCAGGTTCTTAGTTTCAATGATATGCCTGTGAAGAATCTGAAGAGCTTGGCTATCATGGTTGAGAATTGTGATGATGAGTACCTAAAGTTTGGCCTTGAATACAATCAGGTCTTTTTCTGTTTCTTTATCTCACGCACACACAAATACATGAATATATGCATGCATCCTATGCATTTTTCTTTTGTTGGCTGAATTGTGAATTGCATACTTCCCTCACAGATGGTTGTTCTACAAACAAAAGCTGCCAAGGCAGCGATGCTGGATATCCTCACAACACATTGCATATCATCATCCATGTCTGATGATCTTAAGACTAAAGAGAATGCTTTAGAGGAAGTAAACTCTATGGCCGATGACCTTAGAGATACGATCTTAGAGAAAAGTTAAGAGCGAATGCAGAAGATCACTTCACCTCTAGCTTTTTACACAAATGATTTTGAGGATGCTCTTATAGGAACCGTGTATAAAACTTATCCCGACCAAATCTCGGAGTAGTGAGATTACGGGATGAGTTCTTTACTTTTACTTTTAGTCGGAGAATATGCAATATTAAGGGTAAAAGGAAACAATGTCACTTGTACAATAGCATATTTCGGATTGTAAAATTATTTTTATGAAATAAAGATTACATCAGAAAGTTTCATACAACTTCAAAGTATCCTCTCTCAAATCATGTCCAGATCCCTCCCAAGCTCTTCTCCAAGTCTCTAAGTCTAGGATGACCTTGTAAAGCTTGATTTCGAGCTAGTTGTTACATCGAGTCCATCGAGATGAGGCGACTTCCAAGAATGAAAATCGCCGTTGAGTTCCATCCATAAACAATTGTCGTCGATTATTTAACTTAAGGGTCTCATTCCTCATCACTACTGTCATGCATCATGCATCACACATATACGGTCAAGAACAAACATCGATTTACATGCAGGAAACAATCCGTAGAACAGAGCAATACTACAGTTAATTACATATGTTAAAGATTAAAAGACGATCACAGATTGAAGCGTGTACGACATTTTGCTATCCGCGCTTTGGTGAAGTGATTCTGTATGTGTCAAATTGTGACTGATAGTTAATGGTGGAATGCTTCTTACTTTTAAGGAGATAAGCAGTGTTCGAGAAGGTGGGCATTCCCTCATTTGCATCTACAACTTCTGCAATGTCTGCTAATTCTCCAGACACAAACAATCATATGGAAGATTTCTAGTAAGCAAATAGACGTCGATGGTCAATCGAACGTCTTGTTTTTCACTCTTTCATACATATATATATATATACACACATTTGCAAATCTTTGATTTACTTCTCGTTTTTGTAGTTTTGCAACAAAGGGGCCTTGTGGGTGGTTGATGGGGATTCCAGGCTAGCAGGCACAGATTCTTCACCGGCCTCTTCCTTTGTTTTTCCCCACAGTACAGTATAAAACCCAATAGATATTATTGTTGCTCCAACTAGGCTGAAAAAATGCAAAAAATCAAGACTTATTAAGTTGCACTTTCGTTAGCGGAAAAAGATAAAGAAGAGAGGAATGCACGATGACTATATTAGAGTGTCAACAACCCCTCTGAAAGAAAAAAAAGAGGTTAGTTATGCTTTCTAACCTTCCGAGATGAAGAGTGTCACGGAGGAAAGCAACGCCCATGGCAACGGCAATGGCCATGGACAAAGGCTTGAACATTGTCACAAAGACAGGTCCCTTCAAGCGCAACACCCATGTGTGAACAGCATTGTTCAAAAATGACCCAAATAGCCCCTAGACACAGAAAAATCGATACGATTAAGGTGTACTAGTCACATTAGATAGGCACTGTTTTTTTTACCATACAATTAGTGTCTTACTGAGCAGAGTACGGAGAGCAATGCAATATCAGGTCGCAACTTCCAAGCGCTGGAATTCGGTTCTGTTATCAAAGCAACCGCTGCAGATACGGCAACCACACATACATTGTAGAAGAAGATCACGGTTAACTCATTCGGGTACTCTTTCATGATTTGTGCCTGTGAAAGTATTACTACTTTATAATTAAAGATCACGATAAGCCGGAAGCTGAAGGATTTAGTAAGATTAGGGTTTAGGGTTTAAGGTGGGAAACTGAACGATTGTATATTTACCTGAACAATGTACCAAAGTGGTACCAATATGTACTCAGCCGTTAGCAGAAGGCCACCAACTATCCAATTTGGGTTTGTTGGTGTAGAGTTTAGAAGAGGCTGGTGGAGTGAAAGGGATTGTGACTGATTAGCAAACACAATTGGAGGGCCCTTGTAGAGAGTCACCACAAATGCACCTGCAAGTGAAACTACTGTACCCAAGATTTTTGCTTGACTGCTTCTCTTTCTTAGAGCTGCACTTTCCAACCTTTGGTTGGTAAAAGGAGAGAGAAAAACAAAAGTTAGTTGTTAATCATTGTCATGGTAAAAGACATCAATGACTGAATTCAACTATTAAATGTGAGCTGAAGAAGTTTAGGGAATTTAACAAATGAATCACTTAAATGGTAATGTATATACATTGATGTATGGTAGGACTCTGAAAGTTAGAGTCCAACAATAGGCCTATTTCGCATGTTTTTCACACAAAAAAAAAATGTAAATTGACCGTCATACCGTCATGTGTTGTCACATATCCATTCATATTGTCACTTGTATATTTTATTAATACCATACTCTAGGTCTGTGAAATATTAACCTTGTCATTCATTTATATTAACACTTGGATTAATAAAATGAGGAGAAACTAACATGCAATGTGCAGTCTGTCATCATAATATATTTATAATTGCATAATATTATTAGTCCAAAATGTCATTGTAATGTCCTGAAAAGTATAAGTAAGTAAGTCGTTTACTAATAATATCAGGTACCAATGTAATGCCGCCCAAAATTTCCATTTACCATATAAGAAAACTAGAAGCCCAAGTCACAACCAACAATCCAACAGGATCCTCTCTTAATCATCTTTATGAGAATCCTGTAAATCTATGAATCGTATTCGTTTATCGTACAACGTGCGGTCAGTTTTTATCAGGTACTGTTTGTGTTTAATTTTAAATAAAAAATTTAAAATAATTTCTGACCGCACAATATTCGATGAATGATCATAATTCACAAATTCTCAAAATCGCCGCTGTAAGTATGCGGCGAGGATCCGGATCTCATGGTGTGTCTGCCCACTTGAGAGAGAGAAAATAAAAGTAGGAAAAAGTTCAAACAGGGGTAGTGTGGTGGGCACACGTCCTCCCTTATCATAATTCCAAAAGTAACGTATGTCTCTGGTCACTTCAACTTTTTATACAGAAAGCAACATCAAAAATTAGGTCACTCGATTTTTATCAGTGGAGGGTAAAATAGTAAATGACTGGGAGGGGGGCGGTGGTGGAGGGACCTGAAAATGATGGCGAGGATGAAAGTGAAAGCTGGCACAAGATTGCTGATGGCTGAAGCAAGCGTTGGAGAGCTGTAGTTGATTCCTGTGTACCCCATGATCTGTGATGAACTCCTGCTCAACCCAAGATCACCAAATTATTTAGCACTAAATAGTTAAACAATTAGTTAGTCCTAAAAACTTTAACGAAGTGATTTATGTACGCTCATTTTTCTCTTTCTGCACACCTTTGTATACATCCATTCGTTTGATTTATTTAATCCAAACAGCGGTAATAAACAAAGGTGTGCATAGGCGAAAAATGGTGTGCTGAAATCGCTTTGCGGAACATATGGGTTGGTATGATTGTACCCTATGAGTCCAAGAAGAAGAACTTTAGACATTATGGAGAAGTTGAGAGGAGGAAGCACCCTTGATCTGCAAATTAAGAAAAATTAGAGATGCAAGTTAGAAAAAATGATGAAGAATTTGTTAATTTTGACCAATTATATTGTTCACTGTAAGACGGTATTCTAAACTACTCTAATTTATGGGAAGAGGATGGAGATTCGAACCTGTGGGAGATGAAAGGAGCTGGAATGAGAACAAAGGCAGCAATAGAGTAAGAGTAGACAACAAAGACATGGTAGCTCATTCCATTTAAAGTGGCAGCTTTGAAGAGAGTGTTTAGGCCGACGTTCACGCACTCCATCGTCACCATCGCCGTGAATGGCAGCACATCACTGTAAAAAGACCTCCCTACTGCTGCCATGGATGCTCCTCTCTCTCTCTCTCTCTCTCTCTCAGTGTTTCTCTCTATAAAACTCAGAAGGAAACAGAGAGGATGAGATGGTAAAGTTCAATAAATAATGGGTGTTATCTGAGATCACAAAGCTACATCCTTGTTAGACGAAATAAAGACATGAGGCAAGTGTAGGTTGACAGCGATATGAAATGTGGACCGTTGATTGGCCCATTAAAGGTCCTTTCATTCGGAAAGACATCATTTCCGGATCTTTCCTTTCAAAGTTCAAGGATTTAATCATTTAGCCTTTTGAAATTTGATTCAACGATAAAAAAATTATTTTAATTTTTAATTTTTTTACTAATTTCTCATTTTTAACCGTTAGATCAAATTTCAAAGATCCAGATTATTTGATCTCTGAACTTTGAAAAAAAAGATCCGGAGAGGATCTTTTTCCCTCTCTTTCTAACAAAAATACAAAACGATAGGAAAAGGAAATGATACGACTCTTTGGTTACATGACTAGGTGGTGCAATAATGGATGTATAAATATTATTGGATTCCACACAATCAAAAGAAAGGTAAAACAAGTTAAAGAACCCGATTTAATGCTGTGTTAATGGTTTTAGATATACGGATTAGCGGCTCCCTATTAGTCAACATTGATAATGTTCTCTAATCAATATTGATATATAGCAATCTGCTCTATACATCGTTAAGTTTCAAAGAAGCAGGTCATTGATCCATCACTAATTAAGATTAATATTGTCTACAACTTAACCACATGTGCATGTAATTATGTGTGAGATTTTATAAAAACTGTCTCTCAATCCAATTTGTAAAAAAATCATTCAAAATAAGGCTTTTTTTTTTTTATGTGGAGTTTTACATTTTTCAACAGTCTAAACTATGAAGAACATATTCGAACTTGAATGCACATTGCTCTAACTATCTTAGTTACGCCTAAATCTGCACCTAATGTAAGAAAGCTATGATGACTAGTATGAAAGGCATCTATATGATTATGGTATAGGATGTCATTTCTGAAAAAAAAAAACTATATAATATATGATATGGTCCAATAATGTATGTTGTATGATCATTTTTCAATTGCGTGCGATAATCGAAGGGGGACAATTGGGCTAGTTTCGTGCTGTTTTGAACTTTTAAGATAACTTTATTTATTCGGGGTTTTAGTGTTTTCTATGATGCAAAATTTTTATTTCATTTTAGAGGACAAAAAATGGTGTGCAATCAGGGGACCCCTTCGATTTATTGGCTTGTTGTTAAGCGCTTCTGAGTCATCATTTATTGGCAGCTTGTGACGGGGGCCAATCTTAATTCACAGTTGTTTATGTGGTGGCTCAGGAGAAATTTAATCAAATTATTATATGACATTATGCTAGCTTGGTTGAATTGATGATTGAGAAATAGTAAGGGACTTTTTAAAAGTGAGAGTCTTTATATTTTCTGTCATTTCATGTTTTTGCACAATGTTTTGTAATTGGTACGAAACTTAACGTTAAACTATGAAGTAACGTTGATTTTATGAAGAATCATACTTTTTGAAAGATTCTCTTAGCATTTATCTTGACGTTTAGGCCTAATTGAGATTTGTCCTCACAAAGATTAATTTTAGTTCGAACCAACAATAATCATGTTTAGATGGAACTAACAAAACCGTTTAAAAGCGATTTTATCAATTATTGAGTCCTAAGGTTATTCAAGGTCAAAATAGATTTTATGATGGTTTTTGGTAGATATTCATAAAACTGATTAAGAAATGTGATTTATAACTCACAAATTTTGTGATAAATATAATTGTTTGACTTTTGGAAAGATCTGTTGTGCCGATTTAAAGAAATTGAATAAGCTTGAAAGTTGTTTTACCATTTATTGATTCTTAATACATAGTTTTATTATGTTAGGGGTGGCAATTTGGGTAAAGCTATATAAGTCATAGTTATATTTAAACTCGCAATTTATGAGAGTCAAACTGACTCAAACTCCGAACCTTCCACTTACTAAGTAGAAAAAAAATATCAATAGACCGTAGTGCTAGTGGTGATAACAATTTTTAATCAGCTAAATGTTCATTGTACACATGATTTTACATATTTTCAACTTTGTAGCTTTCCAACAGGGGGGCCTTTCCCATACCAATAGGCAATGGTTTCATTTGTTCTTCCTTCGATTTACCCCATATTACAGCATAAAACCCCACGGACAGAATAATAGCTCCAACAACACTGCAAAATTAGGAAGATCATAGGGCAATAGTTGTTATTGTAACTCCGAAAAAAGTCATCTTGCACTCCTTCCGAGAGAGAGAGAGAGAGAGAGAGAGAGTACCTGCCGAGAGAGAGAGCATCACCAAGGAAAATGACACTCAAAGCAGCAGCAATGGCTATAGACAACGGCTTGAAGATAGATATATAGACAGGCCCCTTCAAGTGCAGGGCCCAAGTGTGAACAAGCGAACCGAAGGAAGAACCAAGGCATCCCTATAGAAAAGGAGAAAAAGTTCTGAGAGTTATACATTTCCTGAAGTAGCACAGTAGCTCTATGAATCTGACAGTCCTCACTCACGTACCGAGTAAATAATGGCGACCAATGCAATATCAGGCCTTAGCCTCCAGGCACTCAAGTTTGTTTCTGCTATAAAACATACTGGTGCTGATATAATTGTCCCACACAAGTTGTATAAGAAGACTAAAACTATCTCAGCTGGATATGCCTTCATGACATGGGTCTGTAACATGCAGCAGAATGATCAAGGCTAAATTTTCTATTCACCTTTGTTTCTAAACAACGATAGTGAGGCATTAAAAGATTAGGCGAGCATAACTAAACATTAAAGCATTAAGTGAGTAAATTAATGGAGCAGGATGAGATATTGCCATCGGCATTGACCGTTTTGTAACGAGGCGTCGACCATATATATATAGTGACTGTTTAGAGTTTAGTGTTGTTTTCCTTTTTTTTGGCTCCACAATATAAGTGTGCTACATGGTCCATACATGGTCACGAAACAGTCAATACGAGGCCACATAGTAGGCCTCCAATTGTACATATATATGTATATACCTGAAGTATATACCAAGTTGAGTTGAGAAGGAACTGAAGAGCACATAGAAGGCCTCCAATTACCCAATTTGTTGGTGGTGTGCCGAACATTGGAGATGGATTAGGATCTGATGGAGTGGATAAAATCGTAGGGCCCTTGTAAAGAACCACTACCAATGCCCCTGATATTGATACTAAAGTGCCCATGATTTTAGCTTGGGTGCTGTAACTTCTCAGAGCTAAACTTTCCATCCTAAAATTAAAGAAGAAGTTGACATACACAAAAGTACAATAAATCCATCCAATCATATCATATTAGACAGCACCATCATATCACATAGCTTTATACCTCACAAGCAATTTCAAGGAGCATAATATTTTTTTTTTGTGTTTTAATCATTCAAATAGGAGGTATATTGTCCATTGTACAACCACTGGTGAAGATATTTGTAAGCCGCTTCAACTTGCAGAAAAATCACAATTTGATACGTACATTTCTTGTTTTCTTCTATAATCTTAATAAATTACTCTGCATGCATGTCAAACTATGATTTGCATGTATGGAGAAGTAACATCTTACGAGTAAAGAGTCAAGCAAAGATCGTAATGTATGTTCAACTTGTACATAGAACAGGGGGAAGAGATAAAATGGAACCTGAAGAAGACGGCGAGTATGAAGGTAAACGCCGGTGTGAGGTTGCTCATAGCTGAATCAAGAGTTGGTGAACTGTAATTTATGCCTATATATCCACATAAGTCAGCCAAAAACCTGCTTAATTGATCAAAGTCAAACATAATAACCAGCTTAAATTTCTTAATTAAACACAAAATTAATAAAAAACCACCATAGCTTTTCATGTGCAGAATTACATATTAATACCCGATCAGTCCGAGGAGGAAAACTTTGAGGAGGAGAGAGAGGTTGAAAGAAGGAATGCCTGTTCTGCATCGAATTCGAAACGAAGACTCGAATTATCGGAGCCTGGTAAATCTGGTATGCAGTGAAGAGATGGATGCTGTTATTACCTGGGATTTGGAAACAGGAAAAGCAGGGGGAGGAGGACAAGAGTGGCAACTAGGTTGGAGTAGACGATGAAAACATAGTAGCTTAGACCTTTTAAGGTTGCTGCTTTGAATAGGACGTTTAATCCCACGTTTGTGCACTCCACCGTAACCATGGCCGTGAACGGCAGAACATCCTTCTGAAACCACCTCCTCCATCCCATCTCTCTCTTAGAATGATTTTGTTTTGCTCCACTAGAACTTCCTTATAAGTAGACCTTCTTGATGATCGGTTGGAAACAACCCAACATTTCCTATCCCTTAGAGCAACTCCACCGGAGGGTATAACCCGGGGGACAGGCAACCCAAAAAACCCAATAGCCTCTCTCTTTGCTCCAGCCCATGCGGGTGATTGGGCTCGGAGGAGGCTCGGTGGACAGACCAGGCGAAAATCCACAGCCCGAAAGCCTGAGGGCTAGCCATGATATCAGCCATGTTATAAAATTAATAAAAAAATGCAAAAAATTAATAAAAAAGAATAAAATAAAAAAAATTAGTTTTTCTATATGTATGTTATCATTATCTTCCAACTTACACCACAATTTTATATTTTCTCAAATATTTTGGGTTGTAATTTCTTATTTAATAACACGTGGTACAACAAGACAGATTAAAAATCATATCCGAAATTACAAATAAAATTATTTTTTTATTATTTTATAAAATAAAAAATACTAATATTTTATTACCTATTTCCATGGCTATTCAATTTAGGGGTAGAAATGCTTCACTAGGGGGATTCAATAATAAGTTGCCCTAGGGGGCCTTTGATACGCTGGAGTTGCTCTTATGTGTTAGGTGCTGTTGTGCCAATTTCCAAAAAAAAAAACGTGAACTCAAGATTTTGAGTAATGGTACACTTACTACATATTTGTACTATCATTTGTATTAGAGAGATAATACAAATATATGGTAAAGGTAACATTTTGACAAAAGATTTTAAACAAGCGAAAAGATGTAAACAAAAAAAAAACAAAAAAAAAAAAACGGTACCATACCTCTTCCAGATCTTCGATACGATTTTTTTTATCCAAAACGGTCATGCAATTTGAAACGATAGACAATCTTAGAGACCAAAATGAGGACTTATGACAATATCAGAAACCATTTTGACTAAGAAGTCTTTTTATTATTAAGGGGAGGAAAAAAGTTTGAAACTATTTCAATAATATAAGAAGGGAGGGGGGGGGAGTTTCGATTTGGATATGCATGAGTAGAAATTCAACATTTTATCTACTAAGATATTGGACCAAATGCATCTCTCAAACGAAGATTGGTCGTCCATTCTTTTAAAATTTCTATCAATGTGAAAGAGGATGGAGTTTGTTTACGAAGGTTTGAAGGGAGTGAGTGAGTCGTGACTGTTGTCGTTGTGTGGAAAGAACGAAAGGTTGGCAGGAGTTATGGGTGGGAGAGTTTTTTGTTTACAAAATTTAAACGAAATTTCGAATAAATGTTACAATACAAATCCGAATTTGGCATGCCTCACATTTTATGCCAATAAAATCTTGGCATTACCTATTACACATTCTTCTAACTTTCTCTTCTGAAACTCCAATTTCCGGGTATTAGCCTTTCATACATCATTACTGATACTGCTTCGCAACAGCGGAGTCGTTTGGGTTGACGGTTCTGATCGTTGAACTGAATTATCAACGTCTATCACTTTCTCCTTTAGTTGTGCATATGTCACGGTATAAAATCCCAGCGAGATCACAATAGATCCAATCAAACTGCACAAGAAATAAATCCACTTATATAAACATGATGAAGAGCATTTAAATGCAAAAGTTTGTTTGTGTGCCTGAGCATACCTGCCAAGATAAAAGGTGTTGCCAAGGAAAACAACACCACGACCGCCGCAATGGCGATTCCTAAGGGCTTAAACATGGCAACATAAACAGGCCCCTTCTTGTGCAAGCACCAGACATGAACACTGATGCGAAACACACTCACACAGATTGCCTATAAACGATGAGATCATATTAAAATTCCTTAATAAACACTATGCTTAACAGAGAACAAGTTTTTTTGTTCTTCTCACCGCGTACAAAATGGCGATTATCTCAATGGGAAGCTCCATTTTCCATGCACTCAGATTATTCCTTTCCACAATTAGAGAGATAACTGTGCATTGAATTGTCAGAAACATGGTGTAGAAGAAGACTATGGTCATTTCTTCCGGGTAATCCTTCACAGTGGCTGCCTGAAAGTACAAGTTCATTTAACCAAAAACAAGTACAAGTTCATGCCACGTTCGATACCAAAAGTGACTTTTTATAGCGTGAGAATGTATCTGTTGCGTGCTGTAAATAAGTATTAAGGCGTGCATCAAACGAGGGATGATCGAGGTAAAAGAGGGATCATCAATCGATTTCAAAACAACTTTACCAATTTGAAATTTCCTCTTAAGAAATAAGTGCTAAAGAAAACCTCCAAACTACATCACAAAAACCATTTACACGTCACTAGAAAATCCCATCTCGAGCGAAGTTTTGCTTGAGCAACACATAAGACAGGGTAAACCAAAATATTCCCAATTTCTAGTGCACCAAAGTAGAAGGTGAGTTGTGGGATTATATTTTACCTGAGCGATGTTCCATGTCGAAGCTACGAGGCATTGGATTGCAAGTAGCATACCTCCAAAGATCCAGGTTGATGACTGTGAGACGACAGATCTATGAGTCGAGTGATTCAAGCGGGAAGACCAGGAAGAATTCAAAAGAGCAGGGCCGTCGTAGAGGGTCACTATCAATGCTCCTCCCACTGCTATAATGGCGCCCAAGGATTTGGCATAACCGGTTGCTTTTCTCAAGTCTAACTTTTCCATCCTAAAGTCGAAGTCCTTATTAGCCAAATACACAAACCGTCATAGAAGCACACACAATTTATGAACTTAAAAGATATTCCCACCTGAAAATTATGGCAAGAAGGAAAGTGAAAATTGGGGTAAGATTCGCCATTGCTGCCCGCAAGAATAGCCGAACTGTTTTTGACACCGGCGAAAAACAGAATTTTCCCTGAGCTCCTGCAGTACAGTTTTCTTCATCATTTTTATGTCTATATCAATTATTTCAATACAAATTTGATCAAGTGAAAGCAGCTAGAATTACCCTATTAGGCCGAGGAGAAAGAATTGGCAAAGGAGCCTGAAAGTCAAGGGTGCTCGCCTGTTTCTGCAGGAAAAATGAAATTATATGTACTTTTAAATAGTAGCGGGCATCGTTACATTGAAGTCAATACTCCCCCAACAACAAAATACAAATAAAATTATTAAGAAAAAGATAATCACACCTTCGGAAGATGAAGAAGGGGAGAAGCAAGAGGGTACCAAGAGCATTGTAGTAGACAATGAAGACAAAGTGGCTCATCCCTTCCGCCATGGCAACCTTGCTTATTGTTGATACGCCAACTTCTGCACACTCAACGATTACCATGGCAGTGAAGGGCACGGCCCCCCATATGCGCTGTTGCCACACCATCTCTTACTCTCTTTTCGCGGTTGCAGAAATAAGAATGCTCCTTGTTCTTCTTCTTGTGAAGAAAAAGTGGCAAGGAGAGCAGAATTTGCAGTGCCTCTTTCCTCTGTCACCTTAAGAGCAATATATATATTATACCAACCAGTCAGCATCTGTATAATGAAGTTATTAAATACAGTACAAGTTCATTGTTTTACATACAACAAAAGTCATTACAAGTATCAAATGCAAGCATATGCGGCATGAAGAATCCAAGAATAAGAGGTTCAGACAGAAAAATATTTAATAAAAAAATGTCTTTTTTTTATTTTATATTTTTTTTATACAAGCGATAGTCAATCTATACTAAATTGATCTAAATTAAGAAAAAATGACTCATACTTGAGTGCATTGAGAAAACACATTGTTCTAACCAATTTTGGAGATCTAACAGAACAAGTTAATTTTGAAAAGTACTGCTAATGACGTGCATTAACATGGACATTTCATACCTCAACTTGCCCTCATTGACCGTGAAGTTGCTGCCTCTACTCAAAACGGCATGCTTCAAGCCTTAATTTTTTAACTTACAACTGGGAAAATGACCAAGGATTTTTAATTTTCTAAAAATAAAATAATGTTGACTACTTATCCATCGGTATTGTAAAATCAACGGTGTGTGCAATCGAATAAATAAAACAAGACACAATATTTACGATGTTCCTTTACAGTCAGTGTAGCTAGAGTACATCATCGGGATAGTAGTAGTGCTTTCATTATAATTTGAAATAATAGAAGTACAAATATAACTCTTATTATTCTCTCCTCTCCTCTTCCTCTCTTTTGTCTCTCTCTCTTTCTTTCACAATCTCTTCCGTGAACTTATCACTTTGATGTTGTGTGGGGTTTGTATTTATATATAAAATAGGAGTAGTGTGCAGCAAGTTTCAGTAGACAATGGAAGGGCAACTTGCCCATGATTTAATTCTTTGAGTGGACATCCACTGTTTAACAACAGGTCGGCTTATTAATATGCTGCAAGGCTGCGAGAGATTTTTCAGTGTGATCGGTATACGGGGTGGTACATCACGTGTCATTATACAAATGGTAGGATATGTGTGCTAAAAAATTAATAACTTAAAAAATAAAATTTCCTATCACTTTTATTAAAACATGTGATGTACTATTTGTATTCTTGTCATAATTAAAAATTTCTCCAACACTACATAATTATCCACAGTGGCACAGAAACCAACTAGCAAGAAGCCAAACTATTAAAGTTGACCTGCTGATGCAGCCTTTGCATTATTTGTCAATGGCCGGCATCACCCACCTGCTCAGGACCTTGAGGTAGCAGGACAACATGTGTATCCTTCCCTCGCCATTAATACGAGAGAAATTTTACTAAGGTTGTCCGACCAGTTGATTGATCATGCATTTCTCATAAAAGAACAAGTTCCCTTGTATTTGGAGAGAATTTTTAGTAGAATGACTTCTCTACCATTTTGGCATCTTGAGTGTAAGACTTGCTTCAAATGGCCGTGTATTAGTGATCTGGAACGGCACAACAACAATGAACCTATTCCACCTAGTCCTTGTATATCATCCGACCTCTCATAAGTACAACTCTCAATGCACATGATCTTACTCTTTGAATCAAGTTATCATACCCAAATTTCTCTCATTTAATAGAGCTCGTTTATAAAAATTCATCATACATTCTTGTTTCCCAAAATACACCAAGTGAAGAAAAAACAAAATTAAATACAAGTGAATGAGAAAAATGTTCCTTTGAAACTTTTGGTTCCTCAGTGAACGAAATGTTGTTTAAGCAATGCAAAAGAGGGGTTTTTGGGTGGATTGTGCCAAGCTGTGGACTTCCTTCTCCACAAGAATGCTCTTTTCTTTGCTCTTCCCCCAAATTATAGCATAAAATGCAATTGCAGTGATCATAGATCCAATCACACTGCCACAAACATAAATTTCAACAAAGTTTCCAATGTACTTGACTAATACATTTCTTTTCATCAACAATGCAAATGGATAGTGCATCTATCAGAAAGTTTCGGATTGAATCTAATGATGTAGATATTAAGAGAAACTGTTGCGTACCTGCCAAAGTAAAGCGCGTTGCCTAGGAAGATGACCACCATGAATGCTGCAATGGCAACTCCCGAGGGCTTGAACATGGATTGGAGAAAAGATATTGCCAGATTGAATTGGAGAAGAGCAGTAATCCCATTGTCCCGAAAATTAAAGTAAGCACGGTCTAAACTAGCCTTTCTTGCACCAAATTGCTCCAGGAGAATATTGTGCTTGCTTTTTTGTGACTGGTCAAGGTAATTGATAGCAAATGAATGCACAACTGTTGACTTCGTACTCAGGAACTGAGGCAAAGTTAGAGAAAACTGTAATATCATAGTTTCTAGTGTAGCATTCCAGATTGCTATTAAAATTTTCAATGCATTATCGATGAGCGTAGGATGCTCAGTCGCATACGGAGACCGCAACTTTGGAAGAATGATCATCCAATAGAAGTTCTCAATCTCAACAAGATTAGGAGAAAAAGAAGAGCAACCAATCTGCTCAGTAGCCACTGCTAGAGAAAAAAACCATAGAAATCAACTTCTGAAAATTAAGAGAAAGTGACTCTGCCATGATTTGGAGAGGATTGGGTATGTGTCCACGGATAAGAACTGCAAACACTTCCTCTTCTTGTCTAAAATGTCCATCTGTAGGCCATTTCAAGTTGGCAGATTTTTCCAAAAGTTTGGTAATGGTTCTAGTAACACATGTGTTGCAATGGGAGACAATGAGACAAACTGATGTCATAGTAACAATCATATGTCCAGATAAAGTACAAGTGAAAATTACTTTAGTCAAACCACTCATGAAAGGGGAGAAAACACCATTGGCCATCAGAGTTAGATTATTGTGCCAAATTGTAGAACAACAACTCATGGAACCTCTACCAGTAAACTCCCACTTCGGTGCTGTCGCAAGCATCCTTAAAAAAATATCCACATACAAGTACAACCTATCTCCATCTGCATCTCTCTCTCTCTCTCTCTCTCTCTCTCTCTCCCCCCTAACTAATCACAAAGTAAAACAAGATACATAGAAAGGGAAAAGGATCCTCACAAGATCATTTTCTTAAAGATTCTAAGGATCTCGTGATTGTGATCGTTTATCGTATATCGTGCGATTAATTTTCGTTAAATACTATTTATATTTAATTTTAAACTTTAAATTTTGAGATGATTTCTGACCACATAATATATGATGAACGGTCACGATAACAGGATCTTAAGATCCCTAGGAAAAGGATCCGGCAAGGATTCCTTCCCCCATAAAAAGCAGGCATATTTTCCAGGATGACACTTTTATATGATATATGGATGACCAGAGAGGAAAGGGAAAGGCTAACTTATTGGTAACAAATATTAAAAAAAATTGTCTCCTTTTGTGGCATGATAATAATTAATCAAATTGGTGTCTCTTTCCTACAAAACCAATTGTGATGATTCCCCAAGACAAAATGAAGCAAGTGGAGGACTGATTCAACATACAAATTAAAGTCCGCACTAATTCTTAAAGAGTGTTACCACATCCACCTCAATTATCTTCCCACTCCACTTTTTATTAAAGTTTTAATGACTAATTTATCCTCTCATAAAATTACACATAAGAACAATAAAAAAGAAAGTGTTGTTCCCTTGTCCCTAGCGATTTAGCACACCCCTCACATCACCGTTTTATTGTCTCCTCCGAGCCCTCTCAATCTTTTCTGAAACTTCAACCTCCAGAATGGACAACTTAAGCATGCTATTTTGATCAAGGTTATGAGACTGATTGGATCTCGTGGACAGGCGATACAAGTGAGGGTCATGTTTCTGTTACTTTGTGTCAGTGAATGGCTAGGAGAGATAGGAAGGGGATGAGGCATTTGGAGGGAAGGTGATTATTGCAGATTGAGATGTCACTGCCAAACCCACTAGCCAGGCGCAGGCAGAGCGTGCAAATTGCAATGGAAGTGCAGCGTATGTGTATGATTGTATCAAGTGACTGACGAGCTCCGCATTTTTCTTTCTATTTTGTTTCAAAATTGTTAAACAAGAGTCCCATGTTGATTAGAAGTATATTGTAATCTGTCAAAGGATGTGATAATTGTAATCTTGTGTATTCGGTATAGATGGGATTATGGGAACTCAATATCCCAGTAGGACTCTTGTAACTCAAACTAATTATTTATATCGATGAATGCAGCAATGAAAGCCAACATCCATCATATTTGGTAATATTATTCAAAGAATTGAAAATAGAATGAAGAACATGTTACAGGAGAAGGAAATCAAGCATATGATAGGATATGGGCTTTAAGCGGCCAAAAATGATCGGAATAAGAGGCCAATGAGCAGGGTGTTGGGGTAAGGGTGCTTTAGGAATAACGGTGGGTGAGAAAATAGTATGGTTTTTTTTTTTTTTAACTTTTTATGGTGGGTCGAAATATAGGATAGATGGAAAGATAAAACATTGGGATCGATATATCAGCACTCTTCTTGTATCCACCTAACACCTTTTACAAGTTTAAATCCCATTTTACCTCTAAATAAATTTGACTCATTTCTTTCTCATCATATCCTCTGTATCGTTCTAATTTTATTGGATATCCCCGAAGGGACCTCTATCTCATCCTATTCATGAACAAATTTTTGCAAGTTTCCTTGTCATTGATCTTCCGCCACTCTGCACGGCAAAAGTGGAGCCTGTTGGGTGGCTGATGCCGAGCTGTGGACTTCATTCTCCATGGCGATTTTATGCTCTTTGATTTGTCCCCATATCATAGCATAAAATCCAATAGCAATAATGATTGATCCAATTACACTGCCATAGACATAGATATTAACATGTATAGGTCATTCGATTAATCATGCAAATGCTTAGTCTGGGAATGTTGAGTTGAATTTAATGAATGAGATATAAATAAAACCTGCCAAGGTGAAGTGACTCGCCGAGGAAGATGACCACCATGGCAGCTGCAATGGCAACTCCCAACGGCCTGAACATGGTTACAAAGATTGGCCCGTTTTGCTGCAAGCACCAAACATGAACAGCGGTACGAAAGACACTCCCAAACATAGCCTAAAATAATGTAAATCAGAACATATCAATTCATAATCACCGTGAAACAAGTTCCATCACAATCAAATTAAGATTTATAGTTGTTCTTACGGAGCAGACAATGGCGATCATCTCGATGTCGGGCCTTAATACCCAAGAATTTGGATTCCTTTCCACAATTAGGGAATATATTGTAGTTTGGATTGTGACGAAAAAGATGTAGAAGAATACTATGGTCTCCTTTGATGGAAAGTTGTTTACAATGGGTGCCTGAGAGATGGGGAAAACTGAAAACTCAGTTTCTAAGTGAACTTTCCATGATAATGTAATGAATATATTAATTGGATTGCAGAAGAAAAAATTGGATGTAATCGGGGAAATATGCCATGTGAGTGTCTTGCTCATCATTTGACCTGAGGATATATCCCCCGATTACAAGGTAGAATCTCTCGGATTGCAGGGTACCTGCACAATGTTCCATATTGCAGCCAAAAGACAAGACAGAGCAAGGAGAAAACCCCCAAAGACCCAATTTGTCCGCTGCGACACGAAGTGCTGGTAAGAAAAGTTTGGTGGTGATAAACCCTGGAACTTTAAGATTGCCGAGCCCTTATAAAGGATCACTATGAAAGCACCAGATACCGATACAATAGTGCCCAACAATTTGGCTCGAGTGCTTGATTTCCTTAAATTCGGCTTTTCAATCCTATATAGTTTTGAAAGAAGTTATAAGAAAATGCAAACACGCGATGTGTGCATAAGAAAGTAAAGAAAGGGTTCCTACCTAAAAATGACTGCCAGTGCGAAGGTAAAAATTGGTATGAGGTTTCCCATTGCTGATGAAACTGTTGGTGAGCTGTAGTTGATGCCATTATATGCTAATATCAAGCTCGAACTCCTGCAACAATCTACGTTGTCACTTGTCACATAAGATTTTGATAGCAGTACGGAATTGATCTAGCGATGAGAACATTCATTACACAGATTATAATTAAGCAAACAAAACAAAATGACACAATATTCTTACCCAATTAGGCCAAGGAGGAAGAGTCCGCAAAGGAGCGAAAGAGGAAGAGAAGTGGCCGGCTTCTTTCTGCAGAGACAGAGAGAGTAAACGGAAGAAATGTCATTGTTTTACCTTAAGGTAAAAGTAATCACTGATGAGCTGCAGAGAAGATATGAAATGAATGGCTGTGAGAACTGAGAAGAGAATTATTACTGTAAAATGAAGCAAGGAAGGAGAAAGATGGCAGCGAGGGCGTTAGAGTAAACAACAAAAACATAACTGCTCATTCCTCTTGACATCGCTGCTTTGCTTACAGTCGTTACGCCGACGTCTGTGAACTCCACCGTCACCATAGCTACAACAGGTAACAAAACACCCCACCTGCAACCTACCTGCATATCCATGCTCTCTTCTGCTCTCTCTATCTCTCTCTCTATCTCTCTCTCTCTCTCTCTCTCTCTCTCTCTCTCTCTCTCTCTCTCTCTCTACAAAACTCTTAAGTACTGACAGAGAAGCGTACAAAACAGGCATATTAAAAATCAATCTTGTCATTGTTTGTGGATAATGATTATTATACTAAAAGAAGGAACGATGAGGATTTCCGCCTGACAAATGAACCAAATTCTGGATTAATTTAAGATTTGTGCCTACTGCCGAGGACAAGAATAAACTCACAAAACCCGCCCACAAATTGAATGAATTTGCTCTTTAGCGTTTCACAGTAGACTAATATGAGAATCAACTCCTTCAATTAAGTGTTCTAAGAGTGATTCTTATTTTTTTGTCCAATCATAAAATAGAGAAAAACAAAAAGTAAATGGGTCTCTCCTTAAAATTTATATATAAACCTCGTTCGTACTAAACTTACACTACTATAACAATAAATTCATGGTGGCTTATTTCTATATAAATATCACACTCACCTTAACTAACGTGGAAGGTATTAGTTAATTAATTGTCAATGATTTTGATTTGAAAATTCTTCCACTAAAATGATTGCAACTCCGATAGATTCATACATTATTTTTTACTTCTCATACATTTTTGTTAATTTTTGTCCATTAATTTTTCCAATTCATTTTAGTTAAAAATTAAAAATAACGTGAGAAGTAAAAAAGTATATGCTGAGAGCATTACCCTGAAGATATTATCCTTCCACATCTATATTAAAACAAGGCATGGACACTTCATCACATGATGTGTGACCCATGTTGTCTGCCATGTGGGTTAACATCTCTTGACACCCGTTCCTTAGTGCCAATGACTACATTCTTCTTAAATTAGAATTGTTAGAGCAACCCACAACTTTATTTTGTCACCGAGGTTATATTCTCAACTCAAAAGTTAAAATATTAAAAAATAAAAAAAATAAAAAAACCTGTTTTCCCACCGATCAATATTCTTTAAAAGTCCTTGAATCGATTTCAACTATTTTTTTTTATAAATTAGAATAAATAAAAACTGAAAATAAATTAAAAGTTGATTTATTTTTTGTTGGAGAAGCCATCCAACGCCACAACCCACAACACCCCCCTCCCCAAAATAGGTTAACCCCAGGACCACCTTCTAAAAGCCCAACCACTCCAACTTACAGGACCCACCCAAAAACCCCAGTCGCAGAACCACATCCCCAAACCACCGGATTCGGATCTAGACGGCAAATGTCCACTAAGAAGATAGAGACTGGGAAGGAGAAAAATAGAAATGAGACGAGATTAGGGCTAGTTTGGAGATACTAATTTTTTTTTAAAAGCAACTTCTAAAAAAAAGTTGGGATCTTAATTTTTTTTTTTTTTTTTTTAAATTGAGGGTCAAAAGCAGCTAAAAGCAAAAGCAGCTTTACACATGTTTCTTAAAAAAAATATGTTTTTTTATTGAAGACAGTTGAACAATATAATAAAAAGCACCTGGTACTATTCACTTTAACAAAAAACCACATTTTTACGCTAAAAAGTCAATCCTGGTACTATTCACTTTACCCTTTATTTTGTCCTTATCATTAAAACTCAAAGTTTTCAAGCCATTTTCATTAGTTTTCCTTATAATGAAACCTGTCAATGTACAACTTACCTTCCAACAGTATGCACGTTTGCAAATAGACAAAGAAAAGAGTAGGTTCCTGACCCTTTCCTTCTTCTTGCTGATATTTGTAGGCGAATGTTCAAAGAGTAGGTTCCTGACCTTTTCCTTTTATCTTGCTGATATTTCTAGGCGAATGTTCGAATTCTTGTGTTGTCTGTTACGAAATCTGTCAGTGTACTGCACCTAGGTCAGTTGTTTTAAGTCGATCGGGATCGCGTTTTTAATTTGAAAATTTTGGTTCTGTATGCCTGGATGTCATCAATCAATCAATCTTGGAGAGTACAATATTTGGTAACTATATAAACTTTCACGTACAAAATGTTTTATTGTGTATTTGAATTTGATACAAAAACTTCTGCAGATATTGCCTTGTCCTAGAAACATGCTGGCAAACTTTCACGGGGCTCTTGAAGCTTAGTGATGTGGTTATGAATTTGTGTGTCTAAGTTACTCGATGATGTGCAAGCAACTTGGATCATATCTAGCTGCTGCAACTATTCCCGGAGGATCAACCATTAGGATTTCGATCCCGAATAGAGGAAAGCCGTTCTAAGGCCTTATTCAACGCTTGAATGTGCAAACCAAAAACTGAGGCTAAAAACGGGTGTATGGATAGATGAAAGCTCTTAAGTTACTGAAATCAGTAACAGGAACTCGAAGGTTAGGTTTGCTTCTTCTTCTTATTGCAGCCTAGACTATTAATTTTCACTCTTTCAAATCAAATTATCTCGATTTGGTGTTGTAGTTCTTGAGAGGTATTGGCTTGAGGAAACTTTTCTGGTCCCATGCATTTTTCTGTTACGGAATGATATCCTAATCTAAATTATATGGAGATTCGAACTTGAGTGCAAAAAAAAGGTATACTGCCTTAGCAACTTGGTCCATGTACTATTACAATCAATTGTAGCTGAAATTTGTTTCATATAAAACTAAACGTATGGGATGAATTAGTGATCTCTTAATTAACTTTATGCGATGCAGGATTTGATGATGTAGAGATCAGTGATGAGGATATCAAAGTCGAACAGGCTGCTTCGTGGTGATGATAACTTGCATCTCCCCATATGCTATTTACATATGCTGGTAAATTGGATCTTGAAAACAAACAGTACGATATATTAAGTTAGTATAAAATGATTCGGATATACAGTTTCGGCTTTGTTATTAAGTAAAGAATTTGTAAAAATTCGACCACTTGGAGTTACCAAGAAAATTTTGTGCGGCCCTGGGTATAAATACATGTCACATCACACATATTTATTATCTCTCGTCATGTCATGGGATAAAAGACATAGACACACGATCGAGTAAAACACTCGATGATAGGTGCGCAATGAGATAGGAAGTGTCAAAGTTTGGCATCATCAGATTGTCTATTTTATATTTGAGCCGAATGAAATGCTGTAAACATAATTATTCGAATCTGTTTCAGAAATATCGACTTCAAGCCTGAGCTCATCTAAATTAATTTGTCTTATGGATTGAGTTTTGTGAACTTTAATACTCCCTCAGGCCAAAGTTGCAGTAGATACGATGAGCCCCCTAGATAGGCAAGAGCTAGTAATTAATTAAGAGACAAGCATGAAAGCCACGGAAGAATATAAAATAGACAATCATTGTTAGTTAAACAAGTCAGCACTATAGGATAGTGACCTAATTATTTTGCATTGTTTTTGTACAGTTGTACTGCATGGCAGTCCCTGTTGGATAGATCAACGCTTGATGAATACGTCTCAGCCATTGAATTATAAAATCTTCAAGCATTGTAAGGTGACTTTTTGACAAGATCAACTTCACCAATGGCTTTAGACGGGAAAATAACTTACCTCAGTGCGACTATAGGTCAAATTAGTCAAGCATCGACTTATATTTTTAAAGTCTTATATGATAATGCTAGATTGCCTTGAAATATTGTCACAACTGCATTCTTGTTATAAGTAATTTTTTCTCTTTCTAAGAACAACTAATATTATACCAATGTTAACATGGTTGATAAAGAATTCTTTTTAAAAGTATTTTCGAACTTGCTTTTTGTCTTCATGTGTTGCTATTAGCCTTTAGATTGAATAAACCAAAGGAGATTAAGTGACCAACAAAGAGAAAGAGTGCAGAAGGAGTAAACGGGAGTGTGAAAATTACTAAACTTTTCTTGTAAAGTTTAATTCTTTTGAGTATTTCTCATTCACATTAACAATTGTCCGAAAATTACACTAATTAAGCATTAATAAGTAATTCCAAATTAAAATAAGACTTTGTCACACCCAAAATCATTATTCCAAAGGAGCTGGCAACACATTTCCACCCGTCATTAGGCTGCCGGCGCCATATATTTTTCAAATAACTACTTAACCCTAGCTAGCCAATGGCTTTATCTCCTAAGTCTCTAACATCAAGGTAAACAATAAGACGCCAAGCTCTCATTGTATAGAGTCGGCAAACCACATCACCCTTGAGAGTTTGTTCTCCCTCAATCCCACTTATTGCAAGCCCTTTTACACGTACGAACGCTAGATCGATATTTGTAAAAAAATGAATAGAATCCTTGTCTTGGTAATCTTCTTTTCGTTCTACCTCGTCGTCCATAGAACGCATTCTGTGGAAGTTGAAGTCAAGAACTCACTCATCATCTTCCTTGCGAAGATTTCTAATGGTGTTGAACCCGGCCTCTCGTGGGGTTGGAATCCTTCCTCTGATCCCTGCAAGGACCATTGGCAGAATGTGGACTGTGATTCTCTCAACACTACTGTCACAAAACTCTTTCTCAATGGCCAAAATCTCGCCGGCGCGTTTGATGCTGCTTTGCTTTGCAACACGAAACCTCTCGCTGCTTCTCTTACCACCCTTGCCCTTGATGACAACAACATTGCTGGACAAATTTCAGGTGAGATTGGACACTGCAATCAGCTCACTCAATTCAGTGTCAGCAATAACCGTCTTTCAGGTACCCTCCCTGAGTCCCTTACTGCACTGAACAACCTCAAAACGCTCGATTTTTCCAACAATCAGCTTACCGGGCTGATTCCGAATTTTGACTTCTCCCATTTCGACAAGTTCAATGTCTCTAACAACAAGTTCCAAGGACCAATCCCTAACACGAAAGGCTTTGTCCAAGTAAACAGCTTCGTGGGAAACTCTGAGTTGTGTGGAGATCCATTGGCAAACAAGTGTCCGTCGTTATCAGTGACAACGGATGAGAACTCGAAAAATTCCAAGGGTGTCTCAAAAAATCAAGTGATATTATACATAGGATATGCTATATTGGCATTGGTTTTTATCGTGCTCGTAATTTTCAAAATATGTACAAAGAACAAAAAAGAAGATAAAAAGGTTGATGCCGCGAACAAAGTTGCGGCAGTCGATGAAAGCGTGAGCAAAGCTAGTGCAGCATCAAGTGAGTTCAAAGGAGGGTTGAGCAAGTCCAATTATTCTGTCACAATGTCAGATGATGAAAGCCAGAGCACTAATATGGTTTTGTCTTCATTTATTGTCCTCACGAGCCCTGCGGTGGATGGACTGAAGTTCGAGGACTTGCTCAGGGCCCCTGCCGAGTTGCTTGGGAGAGGCAAGTATGGCAGTCTCTACAAGGTCATCTTCGAGGAGGGGATGGTACTGGTGGTTAAAAGGATAAAAGATTGGGCGATTTCAGGTAGCGACTTTAA